CACTCGAACCGACGAGACCAAGCCAAAGCAAAGGCAGTGACAAATACACACAGACAAATCTGAAGCTTTCTTACTGACGCTCTCACACAAGCCACACATTGGCAAGGTCTGCCTAAGCTCCTTGGCTTACCGATAGTAGCAGTGTGTTTAGGACTGGACCCAGTCTGGCCAAAACTGTGTTTCCCAGCTGCAAGAGAGCAGAGTGAACACTGACCCACTCCCACTTCATAAAATATATGCGAGGCCTCTTTACATGTTTAATGTCTTAACTTAGGAACAAGATTTTCAGCAGCCTGCCACCGCATTGCTGAGAGTTTGATATCCACACTGCAAGTGGAATAAATATGATGTGACAAATCAATTTAATAAACTGGTCTATGCTGCAAGCGATTATCTTGGTAATTTAGTTTTGGCATGATGTACCACATCGCTTGCTTGCAGTGTAGTTCTAGTTTTCAGAAATGGTGAAAATTTGATATGCCAATATTCTCACATCTGATTGGTGCAACAGAAATAAATACTTTCATCACTGATTGGACAGAATACCTGCAGCACATTTATATTGCATATGTTTTATGCAGCCAGACATTGAAAATTTGAGAGTTAAAACAGACATTTCAAAAACAAAGATAGACGAACACAGATATAAAACAGCATTTTGTAAAATCAGGGTTACCACGATAAACACTAAAGGGGTGCTTTCCAGTGTTGCCAGATTGGGCGTTTTTAATTTGGGTAAAAAATGGCATTGGCGGGTTGACAAAATTTGGGTGGTTTTGAAACATACTTTCATACCTGTCAACATTGGGATGTGAAAATAAGGGAAATGCCCACCATAATAAGGGATTCCCCCAACTCCCCCCCTCCCCCGTAAAAAAACTGAAATTACTAAATATGTTCATTTAAGGCTGTTTCATTGTAAATAAGCTGTTAAATGGTCAGTAATATGTTTTAAAATTATTATTAAAAAAAGATAAATAAATATATATACGTTAGCAGCAAATACATTAGCAAACAGTTCAGCTTATTAAAATTAATAGCAATTATAATGAGACAGAATCAAGCTATTAATCTCATTAGCTGTTTCTCTACTGTATAACTTACACATTCTGATTAAAGAGCAACGAATGAATCTGAATGATTTTTTTTTATTACATTAAATAAGAGGTGTCACTTAAAAAATGCACACATCTAACGTTGTAATGAAAGCATTCGACTGCTTTCCTAACTTTTTATGCACATTTAAGATGAAATTAGTTGTGTTTGGAAAAAAAAAAAACACCAAGATCGACATCTTTATATGTTATTATTATTAATTGTGTGTGTATGTCTGTTTAAACGCACACAAAAGCCAGACTTTCTCTCCGCTTCAAATCGCGTGTACAGAATCCGTTTGGGAAACAGCATCTGTTTATCACCATGGAGCACGTCAGCTGACAGTCATGGACCATTAAGTTATATGACTGTTTATAGGATTGTATAGGATGGGCGACGGCACCTGTAATCAAAAGGAAATGGACTCGCGCCGTTTTAAATATTTATTCATAAGTGTTTTCATTCCTAAACAAAGTGAATGCACAGAAGACTCACGTTTTAGAGCAAGGGGTGACCTCTGGTGGTTTGGCGGTATGGGTTGCGCATAGGGAGGCTCGGCTGTTCAGAGAAAGACTGAAAATACGGGGGAAATTTGGGAAAATACCTTTACGGGAAGATAGCAGGATAGAACTGTAAAATACGGGAGAATCCTGGGAAAAACGGGAGGGTTGACAGGTATGTATTTTATATGCAACTTATTTAACAAAACATAACTGCGTGCTCCTACTTTATTCAGTTAGTAGTGCATAGCGCAAACAATGTGGGCGCACTCACAGGAGGAGGTGAAGGAAAGTTGTATCGAAATCTGACTCCCCTTCACGTGCATCACCAGCAGTTAAACTCACAGCGGTTTATCACAACAATTTTATCAACTTTTTTTTTACACAATTACCAGAAAGAAACATAGAAGCTATGTCTGATTGACAAGCAGTGACTACTTATGTTTAAAAGAGTTTAAAATGCCAAATGGGACGGATTTATTCCCCTTTACAAAAGTAAAACATACTCTAATAGGTAGTGTAATCTACACAACATTAAGTGCAGTGTGTGGGTGAGAGGGGGGCAGTGTTTCAATGTGATTCAGTTATGTTGTGGTTTTCTGACTGCATGTGTTGGTTACTATATAATTAAAAATGATGATAAAATTAAAGCAACTACACTGTAAAAAAAAGCCATGATTTTACGGTTTATTAACAGAGGTTGAATTATAGAAATTTACCAAAAATTTAAATTGAAGTAAATTTCTGTAATTGAATGTTCATTATTTTAAAGTAAATTTATGTAATTTAACGGCTATTATTTTACGGTTTATTACCGGCACACCAGCTGCTGGAAAAAAAACGTAAAATTAGGGATTTTTTTTTTACAGTGTAGATTCATTTTGATGTAAATCGTAGTTTTAATTTTGAAGTTAATTAAATGAAATTAAATATTAATGTAATATTTTGGGTGTTTTTTGAGAATTTAGGCATGTTTTGGGCAGCTTTTGGGCTGGAAAAGTCCGCTATATCTGGCAACCCTAATGCATTCCCATAATTTACTTCTTTTTTTTTTTTCAAAGTCAGACTGACACTGTTCCCTTTTGTCACTTTAAGTATTTTTTTAAATCATTAAGTATTTGGTTACATCCAGATGTGATTAAAGGGGACCTATTATGCCCCTTTTACAACATCTAAAATAAATGTCTGATGTCCCTAGAGTGTGTATGTAAAGTTTCAGCTCAAAATACCAAACAAATTATGTTTTTTAATCCTTGAAACTGCTCCTTTTAGGCTTTGATCCAAATTGTGCTGTTTTTGTAACTGTCGCTTTAAATTAAAATGAGACTGTGATCTTTTCAAAAGAGGGCGGAGCTACAAAGGCCTTTGTGCTATCATAGCAGCAGATTCAAAACAGGATGTTAACTCCTGAAAACTCTAATGCTGCGTTCACACCATAAGCATTTTGCTCCAGTTGGAATATCTGAACTTCAGCAGACATTCGCGCCGCGTTAACCAATCAGGAGCTTGCTCTTGTAGGGGCGTGATTATCACGTAGTGCCTGTCGTTGATGTACCGAGGGGAAATCCTTTCGTCGACACTGGACAACAGTTCATCAAACTGGGCTCGGCTCAGTCAGAAGCACTGCTGAAAGCCTCCATCATCCAGGTACAGTTTCTGGAGGAGTTGATGAACTCACAGGGCTGGGTGCACCTCTGAAAGGATTTAGAGGCGCAGAACGAATCTACACTGTTTTTCAACATTCCTAAAGCACATAAAGCACAGCGACCATCTAAGATCCATGTTAGCCATTTAGCAACGAAGCTAGAGTCACCAGGCAGACAGAAGCCCTACCCATGACAAGAATCTGTGTCTATTGTGAAGTGAATTTGATGGGTAAAAAAAAATAAATTTAAAGGGCGAATGAAGCAAGTAAACTCAAAATTTTCGTGTGATTTATTTGCGCGTGCTGCGTCTAGTGTGTGCGCAGCATAATAGCAGACAGCTGCTTCTCACTCCAGGCTGTTCATGCTAATAAGGGAGAGATTGTCACTAATGGCGGAAGCTTTCCTCCTCTGATGACGTACAAAGATGACTACCACAAATACGTTTTTGCATTCCAATTTACTTAAATGTCAAAAGAAAAACTCCACTATACTGTTATCACGGCTTTCAGAAAAAGGACACTGACAGCGGCAGCCAGATGAGACGATGTCAAATTTGTTAACTTTATAGTCCTATCCATAGATGCTGCATTAGAATCACCTCGCATAAGCTTTAACTAGTTTTCGTAATCTGATACAAAGATTATTAAATACAACTATAGCTTTATAAATGTAGCAATCAAAATATAAAAATGTAAGATTTTAAACACATCATGACTGTCTTGTGAAAGGGCCCATTCAGCAGGGATGCATTAAATTAACCACAGAGACAGTTGAAAACTATAAAAATAAAAACAATTATGTTTTAAATAAATGTAGTGGTCAACTAATGACGTCTAATTGGAATAATATTTTAACAGCAGTGTTCTGGAAAACGAAAACCAAAAATGGACCATTGTTTAACTGGTCAAGACCAACTGAAAATATGACTACCATAACCACAATTTTACCAGGCATTTTATGTACTGGCCTCCTAAAAATAAAGTCTATAAATTGCCCCTGAGCTGTATACTTGGAATACCCCTGTCCTAGAAGTTAGTCGTTAATGTTTTAGCCTTGATGAAAGCACCTCTTTCTTAATTTGCTGCCCTAGTTCCATGTGGTTACATAGCAGCTTCTGCCTCTGAAGCAGAAGTAATCTGACTCATTTCTGACACATCGTCTGTTCTACATTACCACATACACTCAGGCTTGTCAATCTGTCGACTAAAATCAGGCCTTCAGACTTATTTTCTATGCTCTTGATTCTACAGTTCAAACACTGCATTCTCTATGTCCTCTCATTTAATTATTCCCTTACTTTTCGTGCCATTGTATAACTTTTAAGTGCATGTGAGACTCACTCCGGTTGTCTTTGCTCTGGAGGACAGGAGCGTAGAAGTTTTTCGCCTGGCGCCCTAGGGTGCCCTCGCTGGAGGTGGCGGTTGTGAGGACCGTGCTGTTGTTTCTCTCTCCTTGCTGGACCGGACTGGACTGGTGACGCAGAATGTCCACCAGAGCTCTGAAGAACAACACAGAGAGATAGACGAACGATAGAAAAAGGAAGGATGAGTGTATGAAGGAATCAAAAGGCCAAAGCTGAAAGAGTCTGACATCAAGATCACTACGGATCTCTTCAGATGGCATTCACTGATGCAGACTCAGATGTGTACAGCATTGTCCCCTTCCCTGTCACTCACCTAGGCATGTTGATGTCTCTGTTCCTCGGCCGTCGAGACAGTTTATGGAAGGCCACTTTAACCCCAATGGCTACGGCCATGGTGAAAGAGATGACTCCCCCAATGACGTAAGCGGTGTTGTTGCTCTGTTGTTGCAGCGGGTCAAAATCTGGGTCGTGCCGGACCGGGGGCTGGGTGATGGGTCCCGCCGTGACGGCCCAGTCAGGTGAGCGGTAATTAGTGCAGGAGTCTTGGTCTAGACGTTGCCGTTGGTGCTCGCAGCAGAAGCGATAGTGGCAGGTGCCGCAGCAGTAGACGTAGGTGCCCTTGGTGCAGTTAAAAGTATTGTCAAACTGTCCCATCACGTCATAGTAGCCCTGACACACATCCACGTCCACCAGTCGCTGAGGAGGAGGTGCCACCTGTGCGGCTCCCAGCGGGGGCTTCAGGGCATAGTCTGTCACATTGAGGGGAAGCATAATTTGCGGCAGGGGCCTTGGAGGGATCTCGGCTGCCTCTGGCTCTGCCGCCATTGCGGCGGCCTGTTTGCCCTGCACATCAGGCGGAGGGGCCTTACGGCCACGTCCTCGCAACAGAAGCAGCACCGGCCCCCCATTCACTGAGGAGCGTTCAGAGGTAAGAGTCACTGCGGAGACCAAAGGGCCAAACAGGAAGAAAAGCAAGATGGCAGCTGGTGGCATCTTGATTGGGGGCGGGTTATTCTTTTATCAAAGATGAAAAAAAGTGAAGCCTTCTTGCAAAAGACTTCTGAGGACTACAAAAAACTGGCACCTATCAAAAGTTGCAAGTCAGTATGGCAATATATAAGACATGTAGACAAGTTAATCTCTCTTTCACATGTGCATACACTAGTATGCAAATAATTTCATATGCAAAAAGCACATCCAAGTGCGCAAGTTCAGGTTAAAGAAAAAAAGCATGAGACTCTTGGTTAGGATGTAAACATATTTCTGAGGAAACTATTAACAGGAATGAGGTAAATCTATGTACAAGTTTAATGCTTAATGGGTGAAAGGTGGAATGTCTGACGAGTTTGATTTGGCACAGATTAAATATGAGGAAATTCTTACTCTTAATTCAACTTTTTATGCATATGAAAATGACTCGAATGCCAAACACAAAACAAAAATGTTTGACTCTTCTGTTGCAAGTACTTAAGTCTTGTAAACAAAATGTATATTTGAACAATGTAAACGTCTTAAAGTGACAGGGGTACAGCAGCTTCTCAAAAGCTGGCTTTGTTTACTAAACTGAGCTATGGAACTAACAATTCATTCAATACTCAATCTGAGTTCACCTTACGGGCAACATGTAAACATTTCTGCTCGAGTGTAAACTGTTTTACTAAATATCCTCTATTCTGGTTGGCACTTCAGTTGTTGACTCACTAAACAACCATAAATATATAGAGACAGTTACTACAACCACCATGTGATTTGTAAACAATTGTCATTGTCAGTTCCAAGAACTGATTTCGTTTTGTAAACAAATCTCAGTTGAACAGAGCTTTAGGCTTATATTGTCAATGAGAATGTCTTGCGAGACTACCTTTCAAGGTCATTGAGGTTCTGTTGTGCAGTCCAAATAATCAGGCTAACAGTGTCAGTTCTCTGGAGAAAAAAGAAAGTGAGTTACGTCGACTTTCAGAGGGATGCCACTGAGATTTAAGATGAAGGTAGGATGGAACAATGAAAGAGTGTTTAACTTTTTAGAGTTTAGAGGTGGGGAAGAGCTGATATTTTCTCTAAAGGTGGCACCACGGAACAAAGGCTCATTACGAAGGCTTTGAAAGAGTGTAGGTCGGTTAGGGCACTCGCGAAGTGTTACAAGCAGCAGGTAAATATATTAGTTCCTGGTTTGATGACACAAGTCAGGCCAGAAAGGAAGAAGTGTTAAGGGATAGGAAGAGAGGAAACGGAAAGTTGGACCAAGTCTAGGTAAAGGTCAGGGGCCTATGTGTGTTGGACCCTCTTGCGTGAGTGTCTCTGCTCTGGATTTAGCTCAACCCAACAGAATAAAACAAACGGGGGCTTGGGCCCAGTTCTGACAGGACAGCATGGTTGAGCCCACTGAACAGGCATGAACAAGTCGGGATTCATCCGTCAATGTGGAATACGTGGAAACGTACCAATAGACCTATCCTAAGTATGAAAAAGCGTCTTTTCAAGTAGTGGGACAACTTTAAATGTCGTCCCACTGTCAACACAGTAAACGCGTCAATGGCTCGCTGGTGAATATGGCAAATTACGAAACGTCAAGCCCCTGGACCACCATCAAATACACAGACCTCTAAAAATATTCCTGAATATACCCATGCACTTGCTTTTTTAGAATGACCAATGCATGCAGCGATGGCAGGGATCTTGACGTTAGTATGGCTATGAGACGTATGGCTTCGGTATCAGGGACTCCTGAAAGTTCTGCTCAGGGTCCGTAGAGCAGGATGACTTCTGATGGAGAGGAAGAGTTCAACGGACTTTAGTGAGTGAAATGGACGACTAATCAACAGAATTAGCAGCAGCTCACTTTGGAAAGTTTAATGAGGCTTGTGCCAGCCATCCATAAGCCTGTCCATCCATCGATCAATCGATCAGGAGTCGAACTCTCTCAGACTAATGCATTCGTAACGGCCACTCTTACATAAAGCATGTTTAACCAATAATGCACTGTTCTCCCTATTCTGGGAAGCAAAAGCGGTTTGTTGTTTTTGACTGTAACTTAGAGATGGAAACACAAACTTTCGACCATGGGGGATTTGACATGCTATTGTATTATAATGGACAGTGAAAACAGGGTTAAAAAAAAATTTAACTGTTATGTAAATTGAGGTTAATGGCTTAACAAATTACTGGTGAAATAATTTCTTGCTTCTGGTTGGCACAGTTAGTGTTTGGCACTGGTTTTGGTAGCAAAGAGTCAAAGAGAAAATCTTCAGTCTGTGCAAATCAACATCCTTTCAAAAAGCCCCTGGCTCGCAAAAAACATTGACAGTTCATCTGCTTTAGAAAAGAAGACGACTTGTTTTCCTGGCTGGGACTCCAAGCGGTTTTTATCCAGGCTGATGGCTCTTCGTCTTGGCTTCTGGTTTCCTTTGCTAGTCTTGGGTTTTCACTGAAAGACAGAAAGAAGTTGTGAGTCGATCAAATCCCTGATCTGCCATGACCTTATTTATATATTTGAAGGAGAAAGGGTTCGATTGCCAGTCTAACAAATTGATGGTATACATATAAAGTTAAACCTCTTTCACAATGTCTGAACAAATACCCTGATAAGAAATGTGTCAACACTTTGTTTTTGCTCTCAAAACTATTTTTACTGGTTCAAAACACCAACCTAGAACATTAAAATTTACCAAAAATTAAGTATATATATATATTTACACCTCCCCTACTCACCTACCCACCCACACATACATAGTGCATGCATTCCCTGATGATTAATTATCATAACTGTTTTTTAATTTGTTCAGATTGAAAAAAATCTGGTTCATTCCACCAAATACACTGCATAAGATGCTTTTCTTACATATATTTGTTGTCTTGTTTCTAGTCCAAATATTTAAAAATTCTTAAATCAAGAAAAATTTTCTAGACTAGCAAGACAAATAGTCTTGTTTTAAGAAATAATATGCCAAAATGAAGTGAGTTTTTCTTTAAAACAAGCAAAATAATCTGCCAATGGGGGTAAAAAAAATTATCTTATGTCAAAAGGAAAAACAAGATTATTTTTCTTACCACATTGGCAGATTATTTTGCTTGTTTTAAGGAAAAACTCACTAAATATGTTTTTTTTTCTGAAAACAAGACAATATGTTTTGCTTGCCAAGAAAATTCTTCTTGATGTAAGAATTTTTTGATATTTGAAGTGGAAACAAGACAAAAAAAAAATCTATGTAAGAAAAGCATTTTATGCAGTGTACAGAAACCTAAACTAAATAAAAAAACATGAAACAGAGAGCTGTATTGTAGTTTTATGATCTATTATGTTATTTCAAAAAAATAGCGAAAACATGTCATCTTACTTAAAAATATAACAATAAAACTAGAGATCATTTCAACCTGGTCATGTCATTGACCCTTGAACATGTCCTGCTTGTTATCAAACTATGTCATAACTGTAACAAGAGGCAATACAATCATAACTTAATGTAAACAGCTATCATAACATTATTTATCAATATGTGGCTCTTTTTGGATTCTCGGAAGCTGTAGAAATTAAAAATATAAACAGGAAATACATTAGGACCATTGTTTTGTGTACATCTCTCAAAATGGTCTATATAATATATACATCCACACACACTATAGGCCTGCTTTAGTTTGCCAGCGCATTTCACGCATTAACATTAGTTTATTCATGCTTAAAATACAATTCTTCCTTGTAGAATTTCACAATTGCTTTCCCGATAATTGTATTGTTTGCAAAAATATATATTCTATGATCTTCTCTCCTTTGTGTCTATCAAGTTCTAAATGAAATGAGCAGATATACTGAGCGTGATCACTGATTCATCTAACAAATTCCATTTAATATTTAGGTTGAACTCCACATAAATCAGGTTTGAAAGACCGAAGAAGAAACTAATAAAAAAACTAATAAAAGTAGAAGGCTTTTTATTATTTAAATGGACAAATTCTGATTGAGGAAATGAGCTGGCCAGTTTGTTATTTACCAATAGGTAGGTTCACACGGAATCTGCACGTGCAGATTTTTGGCCCATCATTTATTTACTTGTGTAAATGTGTGTAAATATATATTTATTCAGTTTTAAAATTGATTTCAGTAATATTATAGACTAATATGAAAATATCTATATGATTTATTTACAAAATAGTTTGTAAAGTCATATTTCTTTTTAAGAATGTCTTTTCTTTAAGAATGTCTTTTTATATGAGAGACTTGCTTTGTTTACCAAATAAGTGGAGCTAGATGGATTTGCATTGTAAGCATTAAATAAAATGTATTATTATTTAGTTATTATTTTTATAGTTATATTATATAATTATTATTATAATATTTTTATAGTATATTATAGGTTTTTTATTTAATATATTAAGCTTTATTTATGATACTCCCAAAATAATTCTGCATAAATCCGCAGATTTTTTACAAAATTCTCCGCTGAAATAGCAAAAATATGTCCACAGATTCTGTCTGCCCTACCCATAGCGAACAGTTTTTAATTTGAAACAAGTTTTAACAGATTCACAATTTTTTGTTGTTTGTTTTTTATGATGGATGATAATAAATTAGCATTTAAAAAGTATTTTTTATACTTCTAAAATTTAAATCTCATTACATTTTAAAGAAACCGAATAACTTACAGTTCAAATGCACATTTCTAAATAAACAAATTTTTATAAACAAAACAAAAAAATAGTATGATTAAGCACTTTGACACAAATGTAGGAAGTATTTTTGTTGCATCAAAAAGTGTGGTAATGACAACCATCTGACAAGCTAGTCCAGCACAAATTAGTGCTTATAATGTCACTAAAATGTAGTATTTGAACCTCGAATATCTGCAAAAAGGTCCACCAACTGGCTATGGTTCTGTATACACATAAAATTAAATGATATATCATAACACCAATATGAAAATCGGCTTGCCTGTACTGACACTGACTAATAATCTTAAACAACCAGGCTATTTAACTATTTAAAACTCTTAACAATACAAAAAATTAGATTGCCTTTATAGATTTGTTTCCTCAAAACAAAATCATAATCCTGCTCCTCCACGATCAACAAGGTGCAAAGCATATGCACACCATATTCCATGCATATAGTAGCGCGACCTCAGCTTTCTCACACACTGAGTCACGCGTTACGCCACTGAATAACATGCACATGTTAGCATAGCTGATGCAACACAGTGCATCTTAAAAGCCTCAATGACAACACTTGGCATAAATAAGCAGTATAAACGCTTGTGGGAACATACTGAAAGCTTAATACGTTCAAAGAGATGCAGCTTTGGACGAAGCGAGAGAGGAAGCGGGGGGTGACAGAGCCACAGATGTGCGCGGAGTGGGGGGTTGGCAGGGCAGAGAGAGACCCTATTGAGAGGAGAAGAGAAGGCAGGAAGGATGCAGGGATGGGGGAGGAAGGGTCTCTGGGACGAAGGGCTCTTCTGAGAGGGGGAGAAGAGCTGCTACGCACCTTTAAACGGCCTCTCATGAGTGCATCTCGTGCCCTTTGCTTTGCGCGCTCACCAAGTCGCCGATGGCAACGCCTTGCGTGGCTAATGATGTGAAGCGGAGAGACAGGCACACATAGCAACTCGGTCTCACGCTACACCTTCCTTCCCTCTTGATTTTTCTCCATCTATTTGTCAGTGCGTGGGTCGAAAGTGTTCTCTCAGAATAGCTCTGCTGCAGTGAAGGAGAGAGGGATGTGACATGCAGATAGAGATGGGCAGATGGATCACCGCGCTCGGTTTGCTCGTTTCATCCTCCCTTTGCGGTAAATATTCTACACGGGCTGCTACTTCTTCGTAATGCACATCTCCACTCATCCGCCTCTTCCTCTCGGTTCCCCACCCCCTTCATCCTCCTCCTCCTCCTCCTCCTCATCATCATCAGCAGCCCTGTTTCTCTGACTCAGGAGGATGGCAGGCATCCGTCCCATCACAAACAGGTGCAGATGACAGATGTCAGGCCAACATGCAGCCCGTTACCACGTTTTAACAAGAGAATTGGAGAATGAAGGGCAGAAAGAGGACAGCAGGCCTTGGGAGACCAAAGCTGCCTTTAGGATTTTAAAGTGTTGGTCAGCAACAAGTCGTGGCACAAAAGAGCTTTGTGGTGTTATTTACAGATGAACAAAAGAAATGTAAACAAAATAAAAACGGAAGAATTTGACAAATTTTGACACACATGAATGCTGATGTTGACAATGCGCCATGGTTAGAAGTGACACAAGCCGTTGACAAACAAATACGCGCGTTTTTCTGTCACTTCACACCGACTTTTATTCGATTTAATTCTGAGGTGATTAGATTTTCAAGTCCAGGGAACTAAACTCAAGCTTTTTGCGCGTTTATACCTTCATTCAGACGTTATTTAGTTGACGCGCGCGCGCAGACTATACACACAGCAGCATCATGGCAGATCTTATGAAGGAAATTAACATTCCAGTGGCGGACGACACACGCTGTGCGACACCAATCTCTATGACATGTATCCATCCTCAAATCCGCATTCGTTACGAACATAGCGCATTTACCACATAACAAACGACTTCATTAACAGAAATGTAGCAAAAACCGCAAAGCACAGGTTGTAATGTGCGCGCGACCGATGTGTATGCGATCCTCGCGCACGCTGCAGCAGTAGCAGCATCAGATGGGAACAAAATGAAGGCACGTCTTACCTGCGTGTGTTGCAACAGCTGCCCGCTTCCAGTCTGTGGAAAATGACGCGGAAACCGAAAGAAATGTGACACAATAACCGTTCAAAGTTATTGATGCCGCTCTCTTGGCTGACAGCAAACTGAATGAGATGATGCAGCACGCGCAGTGTTCACAGAGATGGGGTCTTGCGCTTCTTTACAGCTCTTCTCGGTTCGTAGAAAAAAAGACGCAGTTTTGTGGCATTGGTGATTCGGAGGCGAATTAAGTCCCCAATCGTCCTGGGTGGTCTAGAAAAAAATGACAGTTTCAAAATATAGTTTTCATTGAGTCACAAGTCATAAAAAGGTGAAAGGATTGAGTGGACGTCTCCAATGATTAGCAAAAATATCGACCATGCGTGATTACACTCCAACGAGAAAAGAAATCGCATAATACTCCATGCATCCAGGTAAAAATAGGCTATTTGGCATATAAAACACTATTGACTATGCACAGTCTAATCCGTTAGCTTGCCAAATTCGTATACAACGGCTGATTAATTAGGCGCACCCGGTAATATCCGTTTCCACACTCTTTAAATGACCGTATTTTTCCCTTTCAACAAATTCAATGGGCTCCACACTCACTAATAGAGATCTACCTCCGCGCCACTGAAACGCGATTGCTCCCACAAAGGTCCGCTTCGCTCAGTTTACATCAATTGATTGGAGCGAGCAGATGCTTGCACGTGGTTTCATTTGCTAAATGCTGGAAATGATCTGCCAATCGTTGGCACGCGTTACTGGCGGAGAACGGCTTTTGTACGCGTGATGGTTTTTAGGGAAAATCAACTGACGCTCGCGCGCACACTGGCACGCGCTCCAGAGATTCTGTAGCGCGCTAGAATCTGTTAAAGACGGGCTGGGATTTAAGTTACTCGTTTTTGAGAAATGAGGAACAGATTGACAGAGGTCAAGTGTAACTCATAAATTCGAGGAACAGAAATGAATACAAAGTGTTGTGCCAGCGGTTGCTGTGGTTACCGCAGTATCACATGACAGTAATGGATCTCGATTGATGTCTTATTTCTACGATGAATCAAATGAAAGCAGTCAAGAACATGACAAGGGCAAACCCCAGTTTAAAATCAATAGGAAAAAGAAGAAAGTGTAGATATTTTGCTTTTTAAAGTAGTATAAAAGTAGATAGGAATCATTCCCCACCAATACTTCTGCAAATTACCTCAGTCATAAAGAAATGTAATTGCCTAAATTAAATTATTAAGTATTTCCCAGCCCAATTTTTCACTGGGTGAGTTTTTGGCTACTTGAATAATAATAAAAAAGAATTGTTTTGCAATTGTTTTAATGCTATTGAGGTGGACAGTGGTAATGTTAGGGTCAGGATTAGTGTTATGTTAAAGAAGTATAGGGCCAGCGTAATTTATTATATATTAAATTTTAATTGCATGTAGTTACATGCAGGTGTTTTTAAACAGAAGTACAGTAGAACTTTTATTTACACAGAAGGCACAAATTACAAGAATAAATATGATAACAGTTGTCAAAGATAAAGAGGGACTCATAAACCCTTTATTTGAACAATTTAACTTAATTTGACAGTAAAAAGAAACACTAAAAAAAAATCAAATGAGAATAACTATATGAATAAAAAAGGGAATACACAAAGTAGTTGGCCAGCAGTTTAATAAACTGTAATAATTGGAGTGGATGGTGTCTTGTCAATACAATTATGCCAGTATAATACATAACAAACCGTATCTTTTATTAGAGTGTGAAAGTATTATCATGCTATTATACAGTAAAATATCAATCTTATTCAGGTAAAAGCATACAAATGACATGTTTTTTTTTACATGATGTACTTCATTACATCACAATTTTGTAACACTTTATTATAGGGAATATTTCTCACTACTTCCCTGTTGCTTATAAACAAGCCTGTTATTGACACTGGGGCTGTTTATTAGTACTAATAAAGTACGTTTTCTGCACAATTATATTCTACATTCCACATCCAATTCAATAACTAAACTTAACTAATACCTTACTAACTATTAATAAGTTACAAATTAGGAGTTTATTGAGGCAAAAGCCATAGTTAAATAGTGAGAATTGAACTTTAAAATAAAAAGTGACCAAAATTTTGTCCTAAAGATTAACAGAGAATTAAAAAAAATGCAAAAATTAAAAGTAAATTAAATGGTCACTTTTTAAATAATGTGCAAAAGTCAATTTATAAAAAGGTATAATACAATTTTCACGCTCTTTTTTTTAAAGATAAAACAAAAAATATGGAAAATATTAAAAAAAGAAAATGATTTCAAGAAAAAAGCGTTAAATATTGATGCACCAACATTTTTGGCTGGCATAAATTATCCTGAAATTATCCCCAATGCCAAAAACGGCATTGTTTGTTTTCAGCCACTGGTTTTGAGCCAATGGCCTTGCTGCTTTCAATCTCCGTCCAGCTGTCGTCACTGCACTTTGTGTAGTAGCTTTCAAACTGGACACAGGATGCCCTGCACTACAAAACCCATTTATTTCAATAGGTTGCACTGACAAAGATGGTTTGCTGAGACAAGAACAACAACAGCGGAACACACCATCAAGTAGCCTGTGCATGCGTTACAGCCAAAGTTAAAAATGGCTCAATATTGTTTGCTCGGTGGATATTCTGCCCATTTACAATTCTCTGTAAATGGACCACTTATGGTCACTGCAAAAACAAGTCTGCTCAAATAATGCATCGACAAGACATTTGAATGTAGTATAATTGTTCCTGTTGCTTGCAATGCTATGCAAGTAAAAATTTTGCTTCTTAAATTTTTCAGTGTCAATAACATTTCTACTGTCAATAAAATGTGATTATGTGCTAAAATTTAAACAAATGAGCTAAATTTAATACGTCTTACAAATGTACTTTCAATTATTTAATAAAATAATAAATAATTATTACAAAGCATTTTGGTTGTGTTTTTTTTTTGCCCACATAATTTCTATTTGGGTGCATCAATGTGCAACAAAGCACAGCTTGAACTTGAAAGTTTCTGAAATAATGTGCTATGTGTATCAGACCTCTTTCAGTACTTCCTTAGATTTAGACAGACATATCTATTTTTGTTGATCTCAAACTGCCTCTATAATGTTCAAGTCTGGACTCTGTTGAGGCCATTTCATGAGTGCCTGTTTTTTTTCTTCTCTAATTATAATTTTGTGTGTTTGGCATCATTATCAGGCTGAAAAACAAAACCATTAGCAATGAGGAGCTTTCTAGAAGGAAAGGCGTAATGGATTAATGCCTGTCTGTACTTTTCAGCATTAACGATTCCATCAATTCAGACAACACTGCCAACACCACTGGCAGAAATACAGGACAAACCTGAGCCTCCAGCATGTTGTACTCATCCTTCAATCTTAAACAATTCAACCAAATAAATGGCAACTTCATCTTCTATTTGAATTCTAATAGCGAGAATGAGAAATAATTATATACGAATTGTTGACATGATGCTTAATTTGACATGAAAACATGAAATAGGATTGTCATCATTTAAAATGAGGTAAATGGTTAAATGTTTCTTTATTTTCCACGGACCTCTTTTTGTGGAACTGTCCTACTGTGGGACTGTCTCAACCATAGTTCAGTAAATTACGTGCCTAAAGGAGTGGCTATTTTAGTAAATCAGTCATTTGTTTTGCAACCATAGATTTCTAAAAACAGGAACTAAAAATTTCGTCACTGAAAACCATGTCCTCTGGTGTGCCACTAAATACACATTTTAAATCAGACAATTCCACAAAAAACTTTACTTAGTTGAAGGACCCCAATTTAAGATCATGTGACTGAAGCCCCCAGTGAAACCCATGACGTGCACCTGTAGAACTTTTTTTTGTGCCTCTACAACATTTTAAGGCACCTTTGGTGTGACTCTTCTACTTACTGAAAAATATTCAACAAGTCCAAAACGTCATGAAGAGATAAAAAAAAGAGATTCATAATTTCATATAAAGCAACTAGCACTATAATAAGATTGAAGATTCCATTGAAGTTCAATCACTCTCATGCTATTTGTATATCAATTTTTTTCTGCTATGTCACAGTATAGGATATATTTACGATACATTTCAGCAAAAATGCTGAAAAACAGTAAAAGATTTGATAAAGTTAGTGGCTCCATATATTTTCTCAAACTTTAGACTTCAAAAAATATACATATGTCTATTTTTTCCTCAAAAATGGTGTTTAGCAAACTAAGTTTATTGCCTGTTTGTCAACTACACATACGCTCATTTAACAACATGTATAATGGCAGAACAAAACTTTAGCACATGCTTGTTCAAACTACTTATTTAAAGGTGCAGTATAAGTGACACCCAAAGGTTGAACTAGGTATTGCACAACTTCTTCAAAACAAACGCATGCGCAGGTTGCCAGATTGACGACTGCAACAGCAGTGTGCCTAACTATCGAGCCTAAACGCTGATTCAAGGCTGAATTAAACCGTGTTCTGAATAAAAGCAACGGCACGCGACAGAAGGAATATTTTTCCATATTAAAAGGAGTATTGAAAGTTTTTCAATACTCCTATGGCTTTTCAATACTCCTAATGAAGTTGGATATTGATCTTGTTACCAGGAGGAAGGAGGCAAAGAACTGACAACATTTTTTAAAGGCATTTATTAATAAAATGCACAGCAGCTCCTCAAGGAGAAACTGTGTTGGAGTGATGTTCACTTTATATGGCTACTAAAAACATACATTTGGCTGTACAAACATAGCCAATATGGCTTTGTTTTTGTCTAAACCAACATGTGAATTGTATATTTTAGAAACAGCTTCTATGTCTTACAGCTGAACAACAGGATAAATAACAATGCTCACCTCAGGTCCACCTCATGTGCTTTATTCAGTGTTAAATGCTAATAATGTGAGTTTGAATGCCATTTCACATCACGATTATTGCCATATTACTGAAAGCAGCAGCAGATCTTAAAAATAAAATAAACCTATAATGAAGTTGGATATTGATCTCGTTACCGGGAGGAAGGAGGCAGAGAACCGACAACATTTTTAAAGGTATTTATTAATAAAATGGACAGCAGCTCCTCAAGGAGAATGCCATCTAAACCAAAACAAACACAACGTAACTGTGTCCAGGCCTGGACCTCTCTTTGCTTCCTCTGCCATCGTTCCTCCTATTATAGTCCAGAGCTCCTTCTGTGGGACTCAAGGCCGGTGTGCGCCGCAGGTGCTTCTCATTATTCACTCATGCGCCGACCTAGCTCCATTCCCACGGCTCTCAGCCCCACCCCCTCACCACAAAACCATTTGAAATTGAACTTTAGGGACTCTATTTTAACAAACTAGGTGCAAAGTCTAAAGCGCAGGGTGCAAAAGCATTAAGGGCGTGTCCGAATTAAGGGCGTGTCCGAAGTTAACTTATTTGATTTGTGTTGCGCCAACATGAAGCAATTATGTGGAACCCAGCATTTTGTACCGTACACTGTAAAAACTGCAGGGTTCCACACAATTCATTCATATTGTCCCAACACAAATCGAATAAGTTAACCTAACAAATTTAAGTTGATTAAACATAAAACAATTAAATTGTCGCAAAATAATCTCAAGAATTGTGCAATTTCCACTCATTTTAAGCAAGTAGTTTGAACAAGCAGCAAAAAAACATCAACATTTGTCGACTCCTCATATGTAACTAAACAATGTTTCCCCCTGAGAGATTAAAACAGCTGACTGAACCAGAACGCTTTTCTCCAAACCACTGCCTCCAAAGTGAACATGTTACCTCTCTCAGCAGGACCCCAGATGCCATGCGAAGTCTTCAGAAGCTGGCGCCGGTTATCCTCACGTCATGGACCAGGCAAACCAATTTCAGGAGGCGATCTAGAAGAGACGGCTCTGTTCTCAAGTATCATCCTACGGTCTGAAGGCAACATTAGGGGTATGAGCATTGGGATCTGCAGTGACGTGAGAGCGAACGTTAGTATTTGGGGCATGACATGACTCCCTGTGGTCCTGGAGGCGGTGGTGGGGTCATTCCTGTCGCTGAGGGAGCTTCGTGGTAGTGAACCTGCCAGAAGTGCTCGTAGCCTTCGAACACACGCACATACACACACAGGCAAACACAGCCAGATGACTCAAACGGTCCTGCAGCCGCTGGCCCAAACTAAATGCGTCACAGGAACACAAAAAAATTAGACACACATATATATAAAAAAACACACTCGCACATGCATGAAAAGATGAAAAATGTGAATAACAGGCTCAGGTGTGGGACAAGTTCAAGGATGGTGTTTTGTTAAAGCGGTTAAACACAAAAGGAGACAAGAGTTTGGTTGAAGCCGAGAGGTCCTGCGTCAATATGATGTCAGTGGAGAGATGTGTGTGTTTTTTTTAGACAATAAATCATATCAATGCCCACAAATGCACTTGGGCTCTTATAAATTTACAGATGTCACTGGATTAGATCACAAAACACTCAAGCATTTATTTCAAGGACAGAGGTTGTAAAGAGTTTCAGAGTTTGTTTGGTTTGACATAATATAATGTTAAGATTTACGTTACTGTTTAAAATTAAACTGTGTTGGAGTGACGTTTACTTCATATGGCTACTAAAACATACATTTGACTATACAAATATAGCCAATATGGCTTAGTGAAGCAAGTTTTGGGGAAAGCTTTAGAATGATGTTTTTAGATGCCAGTTGGTTTCATAATTTGTAATCTAATTAGTTTTATTTCTAAATATTTTAACTTTAAAAAGTATATATTTGTTTATTTATTTCCCATTACAAATTTATAGTTTAAAAGAGTCGATTTTGCTTTTTGAGAATGCCTTTATTTGCTAAAAAATATGTATAAATCATAAAATATAAACCATTATCTGTCGCCACAGTGATGTGAACTGCTAATTACTCTGGCTTATGTTTTATGTGGCGGAGTCTCATCCAGCTGCAACCCAGCACGGGGTTAACTGTTTCCTTTTTTAATACATTTTAAAATCTAATACATTCCTGTGATTAGGAATGTAGTGATGATTTTTTTAGCATCACTTCGAACTTCAGTGTCACATGGCACCTCAAATATCATTGTAATATGGCAATTTGCTGGTCGCGAATTTTTTTTTAAATAGTGTATTAATGTTTAAATGTTGTATAAATGTATTAGTCCTAAGATTAGTTTATTATTTGATAAATACAAAGTCCAAAAGAGCTACATTTATTTAAATAGAAGTAATATATAACATTACAAATGAGCTTAAAGCTACATTTGATCAATGTAACCCTCATAGTGCATCCTAGTACATTTAGACATGGAGGAAATCCATAAAATATCTAAAAAAAAAATTGTGTTTCAGTCATTTGGCCCCCCCAAAAAATCTGTATCTAGATCACCGTCAGACATCAAAATACTTAGTTTTACATAGTTATATATTAAAATACACTTACCAGCAACTTTATTAGGCACACCTGTCCAACTTCTCGTTGACGCAAATTTCTAAATCAGCCAATCACATGGCAGCAGCTCAATGCATTTAGGCATGAAGACATGGTCGAGACGATCTGCTGCAGTTTAAACAAAGCATCAGAAGTGACTTTGAATGTGGCATGGTTGTTGGTGCCAGACAGGGTGGTCAGAGTATTTCAGAAACAGCTGATCTACTGGGATTTTCACGCACAACCATCTCTAGGGTTTACAGAGAATAGTCCGAAAAAGAGAAAATATCCCGTGAGCGGCAGTGCTGTGGGCGCAAATGCTTTGTTGATGCCAGAGGTCTGAGGAGAATGGCCAGACTGGTTCCAGCTGATAGAAAGGCAACAGTAACTTAAATAACTAATCGTTGCAAACGAAGTCTGCAGAAGAGCATCTCTGAACGCACAACACAAACCTTGAGGCGGATGGGCTACAGCAGCAGAAGACCACACCGGGTGCTACTTCTGTCAGCTAAGAACAGAAAACTGAGGCTACAATTCGCACAGGCTCACCAAAATTGGACAATAGAAGGTTAGAAAAATGTTGCCTGGTCTGATGAGTCTCGATTTCTGCTGTAAAATTCGGATGGTCGAGTCAGAATTTGGCGTCAACAACATGAAAGTATGGATCCATCCTGCCTTGTATTAATGGTTTAGAGTGGTGGTGTAATGGTGTGGGGGATATTTTCTTGGCACACTTTGGGCCTATTAGTACCAATTGAGCATCTTGTCAACACCACAGCCTACCCGAGTATTGTTGCTGACCATGTCTGTCCCTTTATGACCACAGTGTACCCATCTTCTGATGGCTACCTCCAGCAGGATAACACGCCATGTCATAAAGCGTGAATCATCTCAGACTGATTTCTTGAACATGACACTGAGTTCACTGTACTCAAATGGCCTCCACAGTCACTAGAGCTCACTCCAATAAAGCACCTTTGGCATGTGAAAACGGGAGATTTGCACAATGGATAAGCATCCAACAAATCTTCAGCTACTGATTATTGTTATTTATGTATTTGTATTTATATAATCGATTACAATCGACATTTTAATGATTCAAAGATTCTTTGAGTACAAACGGACACAGAATGCAAAGCCTAATATAACATATATGGTGGTTGAAAGAACGCATTCACTTCCTAAAAATACATTTTAATGACCCCAAACATTTGAAAGGCAGCGCAGATACTCAATTACCCGCTCAACACTGCCAGCGATAAAAATGATTTCTACACTAATCCAATAACTTGCCTTTTCCTTAATGAGCCAAAGACTTAACCTTCAAATATCAAGCAACGCAGAGGGCGAAAAGCCAGTCAGAACAGAGCCACAGATTTTGTTCAGCTTCATTCCTGACTATGAGCAAACGGCCAAACCGAGAGAGAAAACACAAAGCCGTCCACAGCACTGCTTCAACCCTGCAAACAAAAACAAACAGAGAAACACACACAGTGAAAAGCCTCTTGCTGTTGGACTCAAATGCCATTCCGCTAATCAAATGGAACTGACTGTAATATAACGAGCCTAAATTAAACACGATAATCAATTTCTTCACAAGGCACTCAATAAATGGCGATACTGAAGTGAAAGTCTCTCAAGAGAACGATGTCATTCAGAACAGATGCTCGGCGATGATGAAAACCCAGACGTCCTGTTTGTTTTTATTAAGTAATTCTTTTATTATATTTTACATTGCAATGTTTTATTATTTACTCCAGTCCACTTTGTAAAGCGTGATTTTCCATGCCATTTAAATGGAGGGATGGGGGGGGGGGGAGGTCAACAGAAGAACAAATGTTCTGTACAACACTTTTCCAGGTAGGAAAAAATATTTATGTATAATTCACATTTCTACTCTCTTCCATTCGCTCATTAGGAAAGATGGCAACACTTTACAGTAAGGCTGCATTAGTTAATGTATTCACTAACACGAATAAACAGTGAACGATACATTTATTACAGTATTTATTCAGCTTTCTTGACGTTAATAGAAGAAAAGTGTGCAATAACTTAAAGTTAACAAGCATGAATTTGGATTTAGTAAATGTCGAACTATGATTATTAAATGCTGTACAAGTATTGTTCTTTAGTAGTTCATGTTAGTGAATACATTACCTAATGAAACCTGATTGTAAAGTGTGACCGGAAATATAATCATTTAGATAAAATAAGGTTGAGTATTTTAATGCCCAATACGTTCTGAATTGAAACAAAATTTCAACCACATCCCTTTCTAATAAAACCGCCACTCAAATGAACCCAGCAAGCATTTTTTTGTTTTGAAAAGACGACTAATAGATGTCTAATAGATGTCTAAACATCGTTGTCTTGGCTAAAACAAGGCTAAATTTGGGCTGTCAGTGAAAAGACATCTAAGAATAGGCCAAAACTAGACTAGTCGTCAAATAAACAGAATTGAATGACTACACATATAAAGTCTGTCTAATCTGTCTATTTGACGACTAGTATTAGATTTTCACTGACAGCCCAAGTTTAGTCTTGTATTAGCCAAGCTGTCTACGTGTAGATGTCTGTTTGACATCTAATAAACACAAAATTGTTTGCTGGGCAAGTTGCGAAATGAGAAATCTGCTTTCAAAAGAGTTTCAGATGGAGATAAACATTCGATCATATTCATTAATTCCCTTTCGGAGTGCAGAAAAAAGGAAAAATATCTGTGTATTTTTGCCGATAGAAATCCGAGTGTCCAAATAACGTGTTTGCGCTGGTTCAAGAAACTGATTATTGGGCTCCACAGTGATAACATGATTAGAAGATCAACATTAGCATTTAGGACATGTATTACAAGCTTATCTGTATGAATTAAAGGGATAGTTCACCCTAAAATGATGGTCATTATTTACTCACTCTGCTGTTCTAGTAATGCCTATTGGCTCCTGTTTTATTTAATTGGACCTAAAAATGTCCTGCTCATAAATAGACAAGGGGACAGTTCACCCAAAGATCATTTTCTGATTCACTCTGAACATATTTGAGTTTCTTCCTTCTGATGAACGGAAGAGTTTTGAAAAAAGCAGGAACCGTTAACTTCCATACTCATTTTTTTCCCCTTAATATGGATGTCAGTGACTAGCAGCATTCAACATTTTTCAAAGTATCTTCTTTTGTGTTCAGTAGACTTGTAAAGAAAGAAACTAATAAAGGGTTGGAACTAGGGCTGGGCGATATGGCAAAAATGCAGTCTCGACAGTTATTTTCCATATTGAACGATAACGATACATATTTCGATATCAGTTGTTAATGCTTCCAGATTTAAAAGAGTATCCAAACAATGACTGAAGTTACAAATATTAGAGGGTCCATTAAATGGCAAAACATATTCTAGTTCGATATGATTTCAGTGGGCGAATATTCGGCACATCTTTAATTTCAACACACTTTTAGATTCTCATTGCACATTTTTGCTGTGTGACTGCCTCTTAGAGTAATATGGAGTAAAAAGTCCAGAGCTTATCATCGTTATTCACATCAATTTTTATTGTGATTCGATATAATATTGTTTATCGGCCCAGCCCTAATTGGAACCACATGAGGGATCGTAAATGATGAATGTTCATTTATGGGTGAACTAACCCTTTAAAACTTAAAAAATATGGCCTAAAGTGTAACAGCATGCTACACACATTATATATTCTATGTGCTCAGGGGTTTTGGTGAGAGACAAACAACATTTTAACATACTATTTAACTAAAATCCTGATCGTGATGCTATCAGTGTATGATTTCAGTCCATTTCACTCAACAAACAGGTTTGGAAATCAAGTACGAATAGCAAAAACTACAGCTATACGCTCAATTCTAAAGTCAACAGTTTAAAAAGTCCCACCTCCATAAGAAATAGCCAATTGTTAAGCAGCGGTCACACTGCACTTTTGGCCATATAGACTTCCATTCATACGCAAGCGAATGCAACAAGAAACACAAACTTTTGCGGCAAGTTTTGTTGCAAAGTTTAGGCTTGGTTACTCAGACCCACAAAATCGCATCACATGACTATGTGAGGCCAATCAAAGATCCAAACATGACCTCTCTGTACAAACATTTAAAATATGGACTAATCGCTCGCTTTTTTTAAATGTCTAATCATCTGGTTTAATCCCGCCCCTTTTCGCAGTGTCATACGACATAAAATCGCATGTTTAAACTCTGTGGGAGGAGTCTTTACAGATTCACTTGTTCGTTACGAAAACCTCTAATTGTTTGAGGAGTAACGGGTGATTTTGACATCACAGCACATATCTTGTCCTTCCAGTGCCATCGCCAATTATTTGCCCCAGATTTTCTCTGTTATTCCAGTATATACAACCACGTGCTCTGGTTACCATTAAAAAATCCATAAAAGGAGACCAGTGTATCTTTGCGCACACGCTGTAGCTGGAGAAAATGGGAAATAAAGAGTTTTAAATGTAATTAGAGCTTTCAGTAAGTGTTTTTGTTTTTTATTTTGAGATTTCAGGAGTCCCATAATCATTCAGATTGGACTTTGGTCTTTGAATGAACTGCCTGGAGGACTTGCACATATGGTCGTCGCGTGAACAGACTTTGATTGAAAGGGACTTTCCTAATAGTCTCATGAAAATATAGTCATGCATGACAACTAAGGGTCAAATCAGGATTTTTGTTAAATAAAACGTAAAATTTTGGTTTGTTTTTCCACCAAACGCTATCATTCTGTGGTATGTAAATTGAATTAAAATCAGGATGAATAAACAAGTTTTAAAAAAACTATCCCGTGATGACTGTGCTTTGATTTTAATAGTAATACAAGGGTTTAACTCGACAATAAAACAAGCTTCCTAAAGAGAAACATGTAATGGCTTTGGTGAACCCCTTTATAAGCAGAAAAAACAGTTGTGCCCAATCATTTATTTTCTTTAAACCAAACATCTGTTGCTAAAAAAATCATATTAGTTTGGCTTTATTTTACTGATATAATGGCAGAATGTTAGCCACAGCTAAATAATTCACACCAATTTGCTATCAACTTATTGAAAGAGCTGAATGCTTTATTTGACCACAATCAACTTCTTTGGCGCAAAAAAAAAAACGCTCCATAAATTTCCGATGTACTGTCGTTAAGTCTGACTGAATGAGAGGGCGGAGTCACGAAGGGAGTGGCCAATGGGAAGGTGTGATTGTAAAGAAAGGGAGGGGCTCCAGATGCATTTTTGCACCAGCGAGACATAAAACAGCCTCGCATGTGCATCTGGCTCTCCTCCGCGATGAATAAAAGAGAGTGTACATGTGTGTGTGTGTGTGTGTGTGTTTTGATTCAGTCCGGAATGTCGACAGTAGTCCTTCTCCTTTCTAGTTGACCATCCGTCACTGAAGGTCTCGGTCCTCCAGGTACCTGTACTCAAACGTAAATCCTTCCTTTTTCCTCTGGCCCCATTTCTCATAGTCAAAGTAAATATATGTCCCCTGCGGAAAGACAGAAAAAGAAAACCATTCCGTTACCTTTTAAATGGTTTTAATCACACATATACAGAAAATCTCAAGGGAACCACTGGGAAATTAGTCAGCCTGGTTTTGATGACATGCTTAGTACCATCATAGTAACAGTTTCTTGGACAAAAAAAGTAGACAAGGAAGTACTGAATTATAATTTATTCTTTGAGGGATTTAAACGATTATTAAACAATTATTATTATTAATCATTATTAGAAAATTTCGCTGAGTGTGTTTTTGTGCAATTATATGGCTTGTTTAGGCCTGTCATGGATAAACATGATACTATAGCTACCAGTGCTTGATGGAAAGTTGCAGTTTTATGAGTGATTTACTGAGGCATTCATCCAAACGACAAAGCAAGTAACATAAATAGATTAACAACCAATGATTTGTTCAGCAGTTACTCCTGTAGCTACTTTGAATAATTAGAATATTTATCACATTAATAATACACCTTTAATTGTGAGAATGGAAATATGCATTGACAAGACTTCTGTGAGAAGAACATAAATGCAATAAATACCAAATAATATAACCCACGATTACCTAAAGCAGCTTTATATAAAGTTAAAGTCAGAATTATTAGCCCCCCTGAATCATTAGCCCCGTTTTTACCACCAATTTCTGTTTAATGGAGAGATTTTTTCATACCATTTCTAAACATAAAAGTTTTAATAACTCATTTCTAATAACTGATTTTTTTTATCTTTGCCATGATGACAGTAAATAATATTTGACTAGATATTTTTCAAGACACTTCTATACAGCTTAAAGTGACATTTAAATGTTTAACTAGGTTAATTAGGTTAACTAGGCATGTTAGGGTAATTAGGCAAGTTATTGTATAACGATGTTTTGTTTTGTAGATTATCAAAAACAATATAGCTTAAAAGGGCTAATAATTTTGACCTTAAAATGGCTTTAAATTTTTTTAAACTGCTTTGATTCTAGCCAAAATAAAACAAATAAGACTTTCTCCAGAAAAAAAAATATTATCAGACATACTGTGAAAATTTCCTTGTTCTGTTAAAAATATTTAAAGGAAAAAAATACTCAAAGGCGGGCTAATAATTTTGACTTTACCTATATATCAGCCAGTCTGCCATTGCCGTAATTGACTGGCATCAAGCTAAGGCCAATTTGTACTTGTACTGCATCAAGTGCAGGTCTGGCGTAGCCTCACATACCCTTTGCTGTACCCTGACACACACCTCTCAAAAACCGCAACTACAAAATCGTGGCAACGCAGAGCATAAGATCTGTGACATCTCGATAAAGCCTTGGGAGCAGAGTGAGGCCGATGGTGTGATGGTTTAACAAGAGTCGAGTCCCATGGAAGAGCTCCAGATGTATAATTATTAGTTGACTGTTCGCTGGTCTCCGGCTCTTTTTTCTTTAATGAGTAAGAGTTTGAGCTATGTCCACAATAGAATTGTGTGCATTTCTGGCGCAAACTCAAAACAACAAATAACTTCGATACAGTGGAAAGCAGATACTCTACTGCTGGCTAGCATTTCGAAAGTGTTATTGAAGAGTAAGGATTAAACTGACTAGTCGACTGGTTAAATTTAGTGCTGTGTTCACACTAGACGTGGCACGAGCAGATAAATCACGATATTCACACGTAAATAGAGGCGTGAACATTGAGTTTACTCACTTCATTCGTGCGTCAAATTCACAATAGATGCTTCTGTTTGCCCGGTGACTCTAGCCAAAACTATAGAATATACAAGAAGGTCACTCGTATATTTTTGAATGGGGAAAGTGTAACGGTTAATGTGGCGAATGAAGCCCCGTCTTCTAGTACAGAAGCCAGTTAGTGATCACTATAGAATTACAATTCTCTGGGGGAGGTGATCGGACCAGATGTGAGTTTCTGCAGATTTTGTGTGATACGAACATTTAGAAATGAAACTAAATAGACAGTAGTTGTTTAATTTTATTGGTTATTCGTAATATAAAATGGGATTTCAGTTTGTTGAACTGTTGTCTGGTGTCGGCAAGAGGATTTACCCTCGGGACACCAACAACAGGCGCTACATCATAATCACGCCCCTACAAAAGAAAGCTCCAGATTGGTTAAGGTAAACTTTCTAGCGGTAAAATATGCATCTGAGCAAGTCTCTGACAGTGTAATAAGGCTTAACGTTATAGCCTTTATTTAACAGTAAACATAGCCCGGGTGCAAAACATTTGCTTCTTATGTTGACATCACCAGCGACTAGTCGACGTCAAATTTCTTAACATAAAAGTCGACTTCTAAAAATCTAAAATCATTCAACCCCTATTGCGGAGCAACACAGAAGTATAAATGTTCCCAACGGTGTCAGCTACTTGCAGGGTATAAATCAAGCATTACACACACATTAGCCCTATTATTATGGTTCCTTAAAGAGCCCCTATTATGGGTTTTTGAAAATGACCTTCCATGCAGTGTGTGGCACAGCTGTAAGTGAAGTAAAATAATCAGCTAAGGCTTAACCTGAAAGTGCACAGTGTTTAAAACTATTAATTCATTTATAAAAGAGTCAACTCATAGTGCTTCAAATGAATTGTCTTGATAATGAGTCTTTAGCCATTTCGACGTGACGTAGAAATGAAACTTAAGCCTCACCCAATTGTTGCGTGCGCAAACCCAGGAAAATTTAAACCTGCAGCCCCGCCCACTAACACAGTAGCAAAGAAAAAGAGGAAGACAAGCACTGTAGCATACGCCAATTGAATTAAGCCGTGAAGACGCTGTGCTCAGCTGGATATTATTGGAAGTGTGAGGGGAAAATTAGTGTTATTTTCTCTACCCAAATCATCGGTCCAATAAGAGCAGTTTAGCTTCGCGCTAAGGAGGGGTTTTGGGAACAAGTCGCTGGGATAATTAGGTAAAAATAAATGCATATCATGAGACAACAAAAGTGCTTTTTGACCTTGTATACATATCAGACTGTTGTTGGAGACCCTTAAAACCAAAATATGACCCTTCTTTAATGTATAATAGGGGCTGTTTAAGTGTCGATCAAGTACAGAATGAGCTTTTTCTAATAAATATGACAAGCGAAAGAGTCATTTTGGAATAAATGAACATTTTAAAATCAAATAGCTTTATTGATTTCTCAAGCATTGCGAAGGTCACATTTATGCTTTCATAGAAGCATTTCCAATGCCTGGTTTCCACTGAGCGGTTTAGTACAGTTTGGCACAGGTTAGCCTGATCAGGTTTATGTTTGTACTGCCAAAAATACCCTTACTTGCTAGGTGTATAACAGAAAGCGAACACCAGAAACTTGCAGTCGATATCATTTTTGCTCAAGGAAGAAAGCCATTTGGGCCATTCGTATACTATCTTTTGTGTGCACTTAAGTTAATTATTTTAAATGTAAGTGTGTGCAAAAACACAGTGGAAGTGGTGCGAGTCACTCTTCTATATGTGTTTAGATCAGGGGTGTCAAACTCAATTCCTGGAGGGCCACAGCCCTGCACAGTTTAGTTCCAGCACTGCTTCACCACATCTGTAGGTATCAAACAAGCCTGAAGCACTCAATTAGTTTGATCAGGTGTGTTTGACTAGGGTTGGAACTAAACTGTGCAGAGCTGCAGCCTCCAGGAACTGAGCTTGACACCTGTGTTTTAGATGAAACGTAAATGGTAAACAACAATGGAGGGCATACAGCCGATCATGTTCTTGCCTCTAGTCATGCGGCTGTTTGTCTTAAGAAGATGACGCTTTTTTTGAGCTCGAGTCGACCATGGTTCATTGTTGCATGCCGTCATTGTATTGTGGGGTCACGTCTCAGCTTTGTAATTAAAAATGGAGCTTCATAATTTGTTGTTCTCCTCACTTGTTGCACAGGCAAGTGATTGTCTGCCAACCAATACCTTTCAGCTGCTGCTATCTGATTGATACCACACTGTTGTGATTACAAAAGGGTCCCAAAAAGGTGTACAGTACAGTATGGTTTGCAAATTTGTTATATCTTACAGTAGAAATGGAAATTAATGAATACTGTACTGAATTGTACCGCTCGGTGGAAACGAGCCATCAGGCAACACTTACAGAATAACAGCAAAACACACTCTAAAACAAATACAACAATGATAAATATGGTTATGAATTTGCACTTACAACATCTCCACGCAAAGAAAAATTAATTTTTATAAAAATAAACGAAAGCCAAAAAGATATTTACCCACGAATTATGCTAGTGACGCTACCAATGAAACATTTTGCCCCATATTGGATAAAACAGGTTTGATTTGCGCATACATGGACCGGGAATTGTAAACCATGTTTTTTTGCTAAGTGACTAGCAATTGCTTATTGTTAAAACAACAATTATAAAATGACCATACATGATAAACTCTAGTCATAGAACATTTTATAATGTTACTCACTTGTTCAAACTCATCTGTGATGGTCTTGGGCTCCTCGTGCCTCTGGAACCACATCATGTACTTTGTGTGAAACCTCCATGACTGTTTTTTCAAGGCTTTGGCTGCTAGATACTGCGCTTTTGTGCCCTTGGGAGTGCAAAAAAACTATTTGTCAGTCCCTTAGAGTTTACCAATAAAAAGTGACTATAATCTGACTGTTATCCTTAAAATCTCACTCAGAGATCAATAGTGTCTCTGATAAGTCAATGAAATGCAAGCCATATGTGCTTACTGATGGACAAAACAACCTTTTTGCAATTACAGAGGCTTCATTGAGGGCATTAATTGTTAGCACACACACCTCTAAGTAGTAAAAGATGAAGAACAGGGTCTCGGTAGACAGTCTCTGGTAAAACTCCACACTGTCGGAGTGAGGAGGTGGCATCTGGTGGTGAAAAGGCAGTGTTGGGCAGGGGTTCCTCATTAGGTACTGCCTGTTTGTGCATAAATAAAAAAAAGTAGATTGAGTGTTTGAACAGGATTGGACAAAACACAATCAAAACAATTTTGTAATTTAAACAACCCGGATCAACTGAAAAGTGATAGAAAGAAATAACGTTTGTGTGTATTGTAAGAAGAACCAACATCTTCAAAATATATCGCTTCAAATATATTCATCTAAGGCAGTGTTTCTCAACTGGTGGTGACCCACTTTTGGGTCGCGGGGACATTTTCAGTGGTGGTCAAAAAATAACAAAAGTTTAATTTTTAACTTATTTTGCTTATACCAGACTTTTATTTTGAAATGCGCGCTACCATTTGACACATGAAATTTTATTTAAATATGGCAATAAATATGCACAATGTAAAGTATGGATTTACATATATTAAAAACAAAAAAAGACTTTAAGCCTCAGTGTGCCATATGTAGTGAGTTGCTCTCACATGAGAGCATGTAAACTAAAATTTTAAGTTTAGAAGGTTTCATTTAGAAACCAGACAACAATATGTTTAATTAATAGTTCAGTTTAGTTCATGGTAACTGGACCTTTTCTTACCCTGACCACTGTTAACAGTATTTGTCGCTTTTACTTTGTAATATTTCTATAATTTGATACATTTTGTTATGACAGCAGAAAAAAACGGTTTATTTGTAAGTCTTGGTAGCTTTCTCATGATTTATTTGTCACCACTTGTGTATGTTAACAAATAAATACAAAATTAAATATAATTTATATTATAGTTCCTAAAAATGTGGGTCACGGCTTGATGATCATGTAAAAATGTGGGTCCCATGGCCAAACCAGTTGAGAACCCCTGATCTAAGGTCTAAGGCAGGGGTGGGCAAACTCGGTCCTGGAGGGCTGATGCTCTGCACAGTTTATCACCAACTCTAATTAAACACACCTGCTTATAGATTTATAGTGATCTTGAAGACACTGATTAGTTTGTTCAGGTGTGTCTGACTAGTGTTGAAACAAAACTCTGCAGGGGCACTGGCCCTCGAGGATCAAGTTTGCCCATCCCTGGTCTAAGGCAATAAGTTATGCTTTCCATTTCGTAAATTTCTCTAATTATTTCTTACGTAAGTGGGTCTGATCTGAGCCAGTAAGACACGCTACATTTTAGTGCTGCAGAAAGCAATATTTGAAATAAATAAATAATTCTTCTTTCCCTAATGCTCTCAGGCACCATACTTAGGACTGCCCCAGTTGGAGCAAAGGGAATATTAATCCAAATGATCTCTCCAAGTACCTTATAAATATGCTAGAACTGCTGCAATTTAGGCAATATCAAACGAGAGTGGTTCCCTAAATGATCACCCTATTCTCTCCAGCATCTGTGAGATGAGCCTTAAACCTTCTTATCTATGTTTTAATTTGTGGGGTGCGGAAATATCTTGTAATGATTTTCCACTTAAATTCCCTCCATACATCTGAGTTTGTGACTCTGGCTTCTGAGCATATATCTATTCAGTTTTCTTGTGCAGGGCTTGACAATAAGGACTGCCTGATGTCCCGAGGCCAGCATGAGAGATGCTCGGGGCAGTAGACAGGATCGTTGTCACTTGCTGCCTTTGTCACTAAAGTTTAATTTGGCGGTGACTGTCTGTCAGTCAATCGCGTGCAAATACAGTCTTAGGGTGGTTTCACACATTGACATTTGTTTTGGAATTTGTCTCGTTTACCCAGTGAGCATGGTTTGTTTGGCATATGTGAATCCCGCAATGGCGCCAAATCAAGCAATCCAAGATCACCTGAATGAGGTGGTCTCGGCTCGATTTGATCGAACTCGGGAGCGGCTTGATTGTGGTGAGAAAGCAAACAACGAATTAACGAACCAAGCAATATTACAGTGTATTATGAAATAGCCCCCGGCTATATAAAACAAGAATGATGATTAGGGCGGGATGTCATTACTTCCAGCAAATGTGCGTTTCATGTCAAATACAAAAGTGAAAGCATGCTGAAATATTAACGAGATTTGCTTATTATCATATGTGAGAAAATTGACAGGAATTACCACCTGATCATTTTTACATATTTTAATCGTACAATATTTTGTATTAGGCTTATTATATTCGTCATTTCTGTAATGACACCTCAAAAGAAAGATCAACATTGATCTGCTTCATGATCTGACTGCAGTCTCTGTTCATCTATTATTTCTCTCTATAATTTAAGCCTATAATGCATAATTCTGGCCAACGTTTTTTTAATAAATTGATTGCTTCAATAGATAGATTTTTATGAAGCTGAATTATTAGTCCCGTTTAGTTTTCCCCCCAATTTCTGTTAAACAGAAAGAAGATTTTTCAGCACATTTTAAACCTAACAGCTTTAATAACTCGTTTCTAATAACTGATTTATTTTATCTTTGCCATGATGACTGTAAATTATATATATATATATATATATATATATATATATATATATATATATATATATATATATATATATATATATATATATATATTTAAATAAGAATAAATATAGCTTAAAGGGGCTAATAATTTTGACCTTAAAAGGTTTTAAAAAAATTTAAAACTGCCTTTATTCTTGCCGAAATAAAACAAACAAGGCTTTCTCCAGAAGAAAATTTCCTTGCTCTGTTAAACCTAATTTGGGAAAAATTAAAAAAGAAAAAATTAAAAGGGGGGCTAATAATTCTGACTTCAACTGTACATGCAGATTAATACAACAAAAAGAGCAAACATAATACTTATAAAAATGAGAAAAAGACATTTTGGTAATTACTAATTTTACATTTAAATCTGGTTTATATTTAAAATACATACTAAATAAAATAGTAAATCAATCAACCAACCAATCAAAACAGAAATTAAATGAATAAACCTCATTTTAAATAATTATGGGAACGAGCCATTGCAGCCATATGTGAACAAGCATGGACAATTTCATGTAGAAATACACATCTTATCTACATACATTTCTTAAAAATGCAATCCAGAGCTAATTTGATGAAAGCAGATAATACAAAGTGTTTTAAGCAATCATTTTGACATGTAAATAATCAAATGAGCAAGTACATTAAAAAGTCATTTCAAATAGGCATGGGTCGGTATAAGATTCTGATGGTATGATAACCTTGGATAAAGATATCATGGTTTGACGGTATTGTGATTACTGCTCTAAAATATATTCTTTTTGCACGTCTGGGTAAAAAACTAAAACTTTTTCTCCTTTGAACACAATATATTTTATTTTAAGAAACATTTAAAATATTTTGGAGCAGTAAACGTGTCAGGCTAAATAATTGTAATGAAATTTAAAACAACATTTTTGGATATGCTTTCTGCTGGAGATACTGTTGCTCTAAAAACAAAAACGTAAATAAAAAAATCTTACATATACTGTAGGAACGGTATAGCAGAACATTATGGTGGTTTTAAAACCTTGACTTTTCCAAACCACAGTATAGCTTGAAAACGGTTATGATCCGATGTCTAATTTCAAATGAAATATTATTGTAGTTTTTAGTTTCATTCTGAGTGCTATGGCTATGGTATAAGCAGATACAGCTCATTCTGCAATGCCCTAAATGATCATAAAACAGCCTTAGATATTATACAACCCAGTGGAAAAAAATGATGAAAAATTTATGTAAAACACTAAATTCCCCAGATTCCAAGAATCTCCCAGGCCTGGAACATGAGTGTAGTCACCTGTCAGAATCAGTGAATGTTAATGAACTGTGTGTGTGTGTATGTGTGTGTGCTCACCTGATCCTCTCAGAGTCGGACGGGTGAGGCATGTGTGCCCAAGCAGACTCTTGCATGGCTTGCTGGTAGAGTTGGTCTTTGGAGAGCGGAACGGGGCCCAGTGGACACACACCCAATGATGGAGGGATACTGACCTCTGACAGAGACAACTGTGGAGCTGCAGGAGTGCCTGATGGAGCCGTGGAGCTTGGGAATATATCTGGAAGAGGAGGAAGGAGACAAATCAACCAACAGTGGAGAAAAGGGTAAGATAACAGACCAGTCCTCTAAACATATGTTCATGTTCAATAATAAAAACTGAAGTAAATCAAAGTCATGTTGCTAACATGGATGAGCAATAATATAACATTTCCGTAACACTAATAAGTATTAATTTTACTAACTCTACTACAATCCTAAACCCATATGGTTTGGATGTCAAATGTAAACCCCCCCCCCACCCCCCCCCCCCACCCCCCTTCAAAGTTTAAAGTCACTTAAATCACTTTTCTTCCCCATTCTGGTGCTCGGTTTAAACTGCAGTAGATCACGTTGACCATGTCTACATGTCTAAATGCATCAAGTTGCTGCCATGGGATTGGCCGGTTATAAATTTGCATTAACAAGCAGTTGGACAGGTGTACCTAATAAAGTGGCCGGTGAGTGTATAAAGCAATAAAGGCTAATGCCAATTAGCACTGCAATTTAAATATACTTTATTCTTATTATATACCCAAAATGGCCACAATTACTGTAACAATCACGAGTTTATTGTCTTCATGTTTGATCAAATTATTCATTTATTTAAAAAGGTGTTGTTTATGTGGTTTACGCAGCTACAGTGATAAATGGAAGTTTTGACTTCTGTGAAGCATATATGTGTAGAGTATGCACAATAGCGCCCACTAGCTTCTAGTATGAATGAAAATATGAGTACTAAATTAAATGTGTGGTCACAACACTCTTTACTGGTTAAAAAATAAAAAATAAAAGTACAGGAAAGTAAATATTGTGATATAATTAAGTCCATATTGCACATCACTTGTTATTAATACTCAATCTGACAGAATTAATAAAGTAATTAAAGCATTATAAGTGGGAAGATGACATTTTTGGTTGGCAATTTTATTAATTTTTTGCAGAATTTAATTTTGGTGCATTTTCCAAGCATTTTTTTGTAAGAAATTGTTTGGAAATGGTCAGTTTTTCATAGCAATATCTGGCAACAAAGCTGTCTGTCAGTTTAAGTGCTAAAGACCACATTTAATAAGTAAAATGAGATGATCACAATTCATTATTTACACCCAACATTCCCAAAACAGATCAGTACGATAAAAGCACTGGCTGTAGAATAAAGACTATGCTAGTATAGTATGATTTAACCATTTCCAAAGGCATGCTAAAATTCATAAACACTCATTAAACATTGATATAAAGCATATGTTCTTATTTATCATTCATACGCCAATTCTTATTAATGAATAATTGTACAATTCGTAACAACCGCCCGAGACGTTAAGTCATTTTCAAGCCTGTGATAATGAGCTCTTGTTGATTCTTACCACTGGGGATATGTAGTGCAGACAGCTCTCCGTCTAACCCTGAGCCTTGAGCGACTCGCTCTGCCATTGACTTTAGAGAGCTTGGAGGCTCCTGAGGCTGAAAAGAGCGAATGAAGGAAGGACAAAGACACTTTAGAAACAATGGTCAATTAAAATTGACACTGGTGCTCTAACATGTACTCCAAACAGTACCATGGGCAACAAAAGATGATGGACAATTTCACCGAAAACCAGAAATGTGTTCCAAGAAACGATTATGCACAGACACGACAACTTTACTGTGGCAAAAGAGACAAAAATGATAAAGATGAAAAACATACTGGGTCTTTCAGTTATTGAATAGAGTTTGGGAATAATTATTCAAAACTAGCTATAGATGTGTTCCAAGTGGCAGGGTCCCTATGCGCTCCCTTTGCACACCCGGTAATATAGTGCATACTAACAAATGCTGATTATGTATTATTATTATTATAGGTGAACATAGATAAAAAAAAATGTTATCTAGATTAATCTCACTGTAATTTTGGAATTAATCTAGACTAAAACGGCTCATTTGAATTCTCATTAAGGAATTCAGAATATTTGTGCTACCCTAGTAATATCTAAAAGTAAGTCTTTGAGAATGGGTTTCTGAAGCCCGGTGGTGCGTTAGACCAGAGGCATCACAAACGGCTTTAGAAACTGTTCTACTATCATAACTGGTGATGAAAATAAATTATGGTAAATAAGATGTGAAGACTTCAGATGCAAAAACGCCACTTGCCTTTGACAGCAAAAGCCGCTATATCCCAAGAACCAACCAGAATCGCGAACTGAATATGTTTTCAATGTAGCAGCACGCTGATGCGCCGGCTTTATGAGGAGACATATTCCGCTTTTGAATTTGATTTAAAAAGACGGAGTTTAATAAACTGGATTAGACTGTGCGACTGTCCGTGAAGGGCAAATGAAAATGTCCCTTACCTCAAAACTCTGTGCAATATAAGAAAAAGAAAACACAGTGTACAGTCAGAAGTGTAGCATGCACTTTTAATGTGTTTTTGTTCAGCGATGCTACTTTGAATGAGTCCGATTTACTTTACAATAAACGGCAACAGCATTTCCCGAAAGACAGAGTTAGGACGCTGTTCTTTTATTCCACGGAATGCTATGAAAATAAACACAGGACCAAGACCTAAAGTATGGTGAGAATGCATGAATGACAGCTTCTAAAATTGTCTGAGAGACATCCCTTTTTGCCCAGTAGGCCTGCATTGTGTTTTATTTGCTAATTTAAGCTATTTTTTAAAAGATAAATATATAAATATAAAACTCTACATTATTTGTATAACTTCATAGTACATAAACGTTTGATACGCTTTTGATATTAATGAACAATGCACAGATATTGATGTTTTTACACTACATTGTTTGAATCTACCAAGCTTAGTTTACAATGTTTACATTGCTCTACTTACACTAAATCTAAATCCCAAATATGAGAAATGTAGTTAAGCTAGTAGCATCACTGCTTGTATCAATTTAAATCATCATTTAAATCATACATTATTATAATTGATCAATTACAATGCAGAGTTTACACCTATGAATCTCATTTGCTAAATTAAACAAATGAAAATAAAAAATTAAGATATCAACATTTAAAGTATTTTTCTATTCTATAAAATTTTAAAATGTAATTTATTCCTGTGATGGTGAACATATTAAGCATCATTACTCCAGTCTTCAATGTCATATGATCCGTCAAAAATCATTAATGTTTTGCTGTGTTTCTATATAGAAAACAAATATTGAACACAATACAATTTTTTTTTCTACTTCATTATGTATAACTTTTTTAATTTTTTAACATGTAACTCTTCTTTCTCCTTTCACCACAGTAAGGGTGCTTTCACACCTACACTTTTGTTTCAGAACGTGTCTCGTTAGCCCAGTTAGCGCGGTTCGTTTGGCATATGTAAACAGGGCAATCGCGCTCTGTTCCGCGCCAAAGTAATCGCTCCGAGATCGCTTGAATGAGGTGGTCTCGGCTCGATTGAAACCAACCCTGGAGCTGTTCGATTGCAGTGAGAAAGCGATTTGATCCGAGCGCGGTTATATCAGAGTGTTTTATGGATATGTAATAGGCTTACGGCTATATGAGGAGAGAATTATGAGTAGGGCGGGAAGTTTCGAGAGTCTCCGGATGCCCGCAAACAAGTGATGATCTCCCGGTAATCTCGCGTCTCCCTCCCGGTCCTCAAATTTGCATCGTCGCGCACCCTTCTCATCCCTCCCCACCGCACCTCTCCTCAGACACGTAGCGCGCGCACGCTGTCAATCACCACCAAACCACCACCTCTCCTGACAGCTTAGCGGGACGCTGCAAAATAAACCCTGACACTCTGACCAATGTAAGGAGAGTTAACTCACACATGACTCGTTTTAGCTCTTTTGGTCCGATTAGAAACTTTGCAGTGTGAAAGCGAACCGCTCCAAGAGCAAAGAGCAACAATTTAACATTTGTAATCTCTGTTTCGGAACAACTGAATCGATTCATAGGTGTGAAAGCATCCTAAAGCCTGATTTATACTTCTGCTTCAGGTGACCGGCGTAACCCACGGCGCATGCAACGCGCGTGGCTGTGCATTTATACTTCTGCGTGCTGTCTCTGTCTGTCTGCTTTAACACTTCCGAAACGCTAGTTGGCAGTAAGGTGTAAATGCTCCTCTGTGTCAAGTTTCTTCGCTGCTTTTTGCTTTTCCTGAACACTTCTTGGATGTACAAGTGGCTCAAACTCGCTCATTTTGAGGCAGGAACCGGCGGACGTGCAACAACTTTAACTATGAGGTAAACACAAAACAAAACTTTCCATCCGGAGCTCCTTCACGGGACTCCACACTTGTAAACAATCGCTCGCGCCATTCGCGCGGCTCTCGGTCCCGCCCAGACTCGTCAGAGCTACCAAGCCGACCAATCACAGAGCTTACGCTACGCGTCGTTGCGACATGTAGTTACATTTTTTGAGAGGTGCACGTCAGTGACGGTGACGGCCACGGCGAAGGGCTATGCGTCAGCGCCGTAGCATACGCCGGCGTTTTACGCAGAAGTATAAATCAGCCTTAAAGCTCAAAGTGTCTTGTTTCCAATTATACATAATTTGTGTTTGTAGCTTACTGGAGTCAGGAACTGTTACTATTTAAATTTAGGTAGGTGTAAATCCCCAAAATTGAGTGCTAACAGGTTAAGCTGCTTCATATGATATATAACCCAGTAGAATAAAAAAGATGATCAAATTAATGTATTTTAAGTTAAAACTAATAATAGTTAGTTTAAAAAAAAAAGTTAGTTTAAAAGAAGTCTAATTCATTACAATAAAAAAATACTTATTTCTATGTTAGTAAATTTCACATGATCCTTATTATAATGTGCTGATTTGGTGCCTCAAAAATAATTTATCATCACTCCTATTGTTAAAAACAGCTAATATTTCACACAAAAAAGTATTTTAAGTAAAATAATGCTCCGATTAAAAACAAAATCCTAACCTCTGAATATAATTACCACCAACTCCGTCTCTCCATGCGTTTTCACCTAATTTATTTCATCTAAATTTCATGTAGCATTCAGTTGGTGTTCAATAGCACTATAGAGCACTAGCTGTTCCCCATCCAGTCCAGCTTGCAGGTCACGCTACAGCAAAGCAGACTTTGCCTTCAGATGAACACCCACACATCAAACGGGTGTAGTGTGATGTAACAACATACAAACTGCTGTGTGTGTGTGCAGATGTTCAGTGACTGACCTTGATGGTGTCGGCAGGCTGTGTGTATGAGTGTGGGCCGTTCAGCAGGCTTCCACCGCCTGCTTTGCTTTCACTGTACACCGGTGAGGGCGAGCTGGGTGCCAGTGTCATTGACCCCAGCAGGCTGGACCCGCTGTCCATACTGTTTTGACGAGAGCAAGAAAAAAACATTTAGAAAATCTGTTTTAATGAGACAAATCACACAAACATGTAGTTTGAAGTGTTTTTAATAGTAGTGTGAAGCAAATACAGAAGTTACTGAAAATGCAATTCATCAACTGGCCACTGGAGGCTGGCTCCAACAGGGAGTAATCCTCATAGACTCCCATGTTAAAATGCCCAATTTTACTGTAGAAAAAATCAGTTCACTATTGTTTTTAATATGTTGAAATGTGTACAGTTTGTGCACGTTGTAAGAATTAATGATGGTAAATTTGACCAACAAATTTGAACAATTTGAGCCAGAGTCTGATGATGTAACACTGGAAAACTACTTGATCAAAGTAATTCTCCCCAGCAAGCACGTTTTGGAGTAGTTTCAGGCTAATAATCAACACATCTTATTGATAAGACATACCAGCATTATTGGCATATTAAACATTCTGATAATATTGTGCATCCTTATATAAAATATGAAAATATACAAGTTAAAAACAAGTTGCTGTGGTGTTCTGAGCAAGCCATTACTTACAGCTGATTTGTTACAGCTAAATTTAAGGATGAGGATTGGCTGTTCTGTGATTGGCTGGCACTGTTGAGGGCGGAGTCTGATGTGCTGTCTCCTACCACAGCACTATAACCTGAAAGATAAGGCAATATTTAAATTAAAATGTGAACATATTTATGAAAACTCTAGTGTCATTTTATCATACGTGACCCTGGATCACAAAACCATAAGTGGTTTTTTTTTTTAACTGAGGTTTATACATTACCTGAAAACTGAATAAAGAAGATTTCCATTAATGTTTGGTTATGATAAAACAATATTTGAGACTCAACTATTTGAAAATATTATATATATATTAATATTGATAAAAAACTAAAATCTTTAGGGTGCTTTCACACCCTGGTCCGACTGTCCCTCCTTGTCCCACCTTCTTGGCTGGTTTGTATTCACATTAGGGTTGGGCGATGTAGACCAATGGCATCGTCGTCATAGGCAGAAGTAAATTAATTATTTATGAATAATTAATTAATTCATAACGAATAAATTATTTGTAGACTACTGTTTTAACTACCTGACCCACATGGTCTTTGTTTTACCCATAAACAAATCATAAATAAATAAAGATAAGTTACACACAAATTACCACCTGTCAATCACTTTTTCCGCAGGAAGTTGGTCGATAAAAAAGGTGCACAACCAACAGTATCTCAGGTTTTCACTAAAATTACTAAGTGTGAAAGTGAAAGACTGAAGCAGTGTGCTGATGCTGTGACATGTTACCTGTTAGATTCAAAAGACCGAAGAGTCATTAGATAGAGACAAGATGAATTAAATATCACGTTTAACAACTATAGTGAGACACGATCCAGCGCTATATCCTTGATCAACTGTCCAACGTGCACTGCTCTCTGGAGCTCAGCTCAGACGAGTGCATGACAGTGTGTGTGGCTCTGTGTGTGTGTGTGTGTGTGTGTGTGTGTGGTCACGTGATGTGCGTTTTCAGCGGAAGGTAGGCTGTTCAGAAATGCAAGGTAAAACACGATGTGGATGTGGATCATTTTCGTTCTAAAATGCCATTTTAATACTAAGACGTATTAGTGTAAATGGAGCCTAAGTGTGTATTTTTCGTGAGCGGATTTGTGACGGGTGCGGGGCGGAGGATCGGCGTAAAGTCTATTGGCCATTGGCGATGGATGATGGCATCGTCTATTGGCCAAACCCTAGTTCACATTGTCTTTTTTCCTTCTGGACCCCGATAAACTTGCGCCATATCATGCTGTTTTGTGTACAGCTGTTGCTAGGTGACAGCAACGAAAGCAAAGCAGCAAAATGGAGACGTACGCACATCTCGGCCATTCTGCTTTTACTGTATCTTTTGCTTTTTCACCAAAATCAAATTACAGAGAGCCACATGCATCTATCTGCCACAAAAAATTAAAATAAATAAAAAATTGTAAAAAGTTTTAGAACATCACATGATTGTCTGCAGAAGTTGTGACAATCAGACATTATCGCTGTTTACACTGGGTTAGTCCTGCTTGTTGCCAAGGTAGGTTATACACAGACATACACACGTGAAAGAAAGTTACGAAAGTGCTAGTTAGTTTTACAGTTGGCGGTTCACTTGCTCTTTGTGGTACGATTGCTTTATATCAGAAGTGAACCATACCAGAGTTCGAACGAACCATACTCCAGACCACCGAATACCAAAAGTGCTAGTGTGAAAGTGCTTGACAATACACACGACTAATCAAAATTTTCATTTCATTCTATTTTAGGAAATGTACCAAATATCGCCATTAAAGATGATCTTTAGCTAATATTCTAATGTTTTTTTACATAAAAGAAAAGTCAATCATTTTGACCTGTATAATATATTTTTGGGTTACTGCCAAAAATATTTCAGTGCAAAAAAAGAACAGTTTTATGGTTCAGGTATTTTGGCTAAGACAGCTACTCTTTACTCACTTGAACCACCATTTTGTTTTGGTCCACTAGGTGGTCGTGGTTGTGTGCCACTTCCTGTTGCGTTCGCTGTCCCAGAGGTCCCTCCGCTACTTCCAATAACTCCCACGTTGCTCCCTGAGGTCAGTGTGCTTCCCACAGGACTGGGAGCTAGCAAAGGCAAAGGCTCCACAGCAGCGAATGTAGACCCAAGGCCCAAAATGCCAGACCCAGAACCCAAGAGGCTCGTGGAGCCCAGACTTCCATTAGTCCCCAACGAGGTTACCACTCCACTGGAGTTTGTACTGCTAATATTGGTTCCGATCGCTGAAGACAGTCCACTGCCCACACAACCTGCGGCAGCCGCTTGTGCATAAGGCGCCGGGGTGGATCCGCTCAAAAACCCGCTCAAGGATGCCGGCATCCCTGAGAGAACCAGACTAGGCATCTGGTTTGTGCCAGTCAATGCTGAAGTCCCCTTCCCAAGGCCAAGACTGGAAGATAGACTCATTCCCAAATTGGTCTGGCTCTGAGAGCTGGGCGTCAGGGGGCCCAGTGTGCTGGTGTTGGGTGGGGATGTGGAGGTGGATGTTGGGAGCAAGATGCTGTTGCTGGCCGAGGTTGAGTTTGAGTGGGAGGAGGCTGAGTTTTTGGGCTGGTGCTGCTGTTGGGATTGCTGTGTTTGTTGCTGGGTTGCTGAACTATAGCTGCCAGAGTTCTGGAGGGGAACGCTGATGTTACCCAAGAGACTGCTGCTACCTGATGCAGAGCTCCCGCTGCTGGCCAGAGTCGCCATTGAGATTAGAGAAATGGAAGAGGCTCCCGAGGATGAGGAGGACAGTGAAGAAGACGAGGACAGAGATGAAGACTGGTTACCGTTCTTGATAGGCGACTGTGACAAAATGACAGGAAGTCAATATTAGGGCAATATAAAAAAGATCCTAAAACATTTAGAGTAATGATTTGGGTTTTCTCCTCACCTGACTGATTTCACTGTCTGTCGAATGACCCCTTTTCTTTTCATCTTCCGAATTCTCATCAGCACAAATGAAGTAAACATGAACATAAAACAAAAAAAAAAAAAACACTCAATTTCTCATTTGAATAAACTGGATTTAGGGATGTGCATTTCATTACTGAGGCTGATAATATCATGCATTAAAGATAGATATGAAGAAACTACCAATACGGTGCGATACAGTTCAGCCCTATTCCTCTACAGGAGAAGATGCTCACCGTAGTGCAAGTTGCCGGAGAGGGAGGAATGGGAGAAGAGGACGTTGTGGAGGTCGGGGTAGAACTGGAGTGCTGGAAGATCTCATCGTCTGGGTGACCTGCCGGAGACGTGGGAACTACTGGCAGGGCTACAGGAAGGGAAAAATGTTATAACTGAACCAAAAAAAAAAAACAAACTCCCTTCTGACAAGCATTTTCAAGCACTCACGTATCTCCTCTAAATCAAGGTCATCATAGAGGAACTCGTTCTCCTCAAAGTCAGGATCCTGAGAGGAATCAAGGTAGTACTCCACGTCATCTTTAATCTTGCGGATGGAGTCCACCTGTATCGAGTCATTGTCCAGCATTCGAAGGATGGTTTCCAGCATGCGGATGTGAAATCGGTGCCTCTCGATCAATCGCTTTAGTTCCTCGATCCGATCCTGCTTCTGAGGTCACAGCAGACAATTATATTTTATATAGTCACTTACAAAACATAAATACTGCATTACCGTTACTACATCACATAATGATAATGAAATTCCTTTATGGGCATCCAATAATGTTCTGTCAAGTAACATAGAGCACATTGGAAATACTTTGGTACATTTAAGGTGAGGCACTTAACAAAAAAAAAACTTAATATGCAAACATTAACAACAGAACATCTTGATGCACCTGCAGTGTTTCCAACAGCATAGAAATAAGCTAAATTAAAATAAACAGTCCTGCCCTAGACATTTTTCACTCAAATGACAAATTTAGATTACAAAAAGAAAACACTGACTGAATCCTTTTTAAGAACCAGCATAGCCTGTTTTTTTTCCCATCAAATGTTTTTTTCCTTCCGTCAAATAAAAATAGCAGGCTACCTCAAATCGATTGTCCCACTGAAAATATGCATTTAATTAATGCTCTGCTGTTATTTTTATATCATAAACCTCTGTCAACATTTTCAAATAAGGTTATTTATTTTGAAGATTATGTCTTGAGTGTCTGGTTTTACCCTAGAGCTTGTGTGCTTTTATTTCCTCTCTTACTCAAGGTTCATGTGCCCGTGATGAAAGACAACGACAAGGCTCATATGTTGACTTCTTGTAAAGTATAGGCTACTATAGCATATAACAATATAACAATTTTTTTTGTTTACATATGATGTTGCATTGATTTGCATACATGTTTTATAAGCTATTTTATAAGCTGAAAGCCTTAGGTTGGTACCGAGTTATCATTAAGAAAAAAATATAAAAAATCTTTGGATCTGTTTGATTCGTAAATTAGGCTTTGTAGGCTATGTTAAAAATTGCTCTTTTACAAGAACTATTAATAACTGAAATTGCCCAAATGGAAAAAAGGTTGGTTTGTTGGTTGTACACTAAGGCCCATTCCCAACTCTGCCCTTGTCCTTGGGGTGTCCCAATTCTTTTTAGCTTGAAGGCGTAGGGCTAAGGGGAAAGGCTAGGTACCCCTTTAAACAGAGATTTTTCAGGACCACACTCGAAACCAAGGGGTAAGAAAATTTTATGGCTGCACCCGGAAGTAAGCAGATCCACAAAAGGTTTTTTTTTTGTAATTATTAGAATTTTTTACAACAAACTAGCATATATTTCAATACATTCTTAACCACGTTCACGTTTTTCCATCATGCTTTAAAAGAAAAAAAATAAATAAAAATGAAAAACACTCAAATAAAAACCACTAAATTTCGCTATCTATAGTTTATAATAATAACTCCTGTATAGCAGTCCCACAACATTCTGTTGTAATAATATTTTGTAATCGTTTAACGCCGGGGTGTCAAACTCAATTCCTGGAGGGCCGAAGCCCTGCACAGTTTAGTTCCAACCCTGCTCCAACACACTTACCTGTAGGTTTTAAACAAGCCTGAAGGACTCAATTAGTTTGATCAGGTGTGTTTAATTAGGGTTGGAGCTAAACTGTGCAGAGCTGCGGCCCTTTTGGAACTGTGTTTGACACCTGTGGTTTAACGGATACTGATAATCAGTTAAAAACGCACCCGTTTGGTTAACAGTGAATCGATTATTATAAGCATCCCTAGTTAATTTGTAATTAATGGCACATCCCTCTGTAAAAGCCCAATGAAACTGTTAAGTTTGGTGTATGCAAGTTCAGGAGAAAGAGGACAGAAATTTATTCTTAAGAGAACAGCTTCTAAAATATGTATTGTGAAGAAGTCTGTATTGTAATCGGTTTTGAAAAAAATAAGTATTGTAATGTAATGAATTTTACTTTTAAGAAGACGACTTCAAACATAAATGAAGTGCCAAAAAGATATGCTTAGCATCAATAATGAATTTGATTTTTTTTAACTGGTTTACAGAAAGGCCAAAACCCCCCTTATTTAGACGAACAAAGTAAATCATTCATGTATGAACATTTGCTGGACTTGAACAAACAAGCGTTTAGTTTTCAGCTCAGATCTTGAAATATTAGAATAGACTACCCCACATCAAAAGGCACATTGTAAAAACTAAAGAGAATGAGAATAAAGGAGTGTGGAGAAACAGTAACTGACCTCTTTGTCGCCTTTCTTTTTCCTGGTCTGGACAGAAAGCGATTCAACCTCGCTCTCAAACTGGTCCACTTGCATATTCAATGTGTCTATTGTGTTCTAGAAGGATCAAGGTACAAAGCAAAAGACGATAATGAGCACATATTTCGATAGGTACATGCAAGTTGAAACATTTCTTATCAACAATTGCTGTTCTTTGCTAAATTACATTCACAGCAGTGAGACTGACACACTCACTGACCACTTTATTAGGTACATCTTACTAGTACTGGGTTGGACCCCCTTTTGCCTTCAGAACTGCCTTAATCCTTTGTGGCATAGATTCAACAGACCACTGAAAATATTCCCCAAGAGACTCTGGTCTATATTGACATGATAGCATCACCCAGTTGCTGCAGATTTGTTGGCTGCACATCCATGATACAAATCTCTCGGTCCACAACATCCCAAAAGTCCTCTATTGAATTGAGGTCAGGTGACTGTGGAGGCCATTTGAGTTCAGTGAACGCATTGCCATGTTCAAGAAACCAGACTGAGATGATTCTCACTTTATGACAGTGCGTTATCCAGCTGGAAGTAGCCACCAGAAGAGTGGTCATAAAGAGATGGACATGGTCAGCAACAATACTCAGGTAGGCTGTGGTGTTGACATGATACTCAGTTGATACTAATGGGTCTAAAGTGTGCCAAGAAAATATCCCCCACACCATTACACCACCACCACCACCAGCCTGAATTGTTGATACAAGGGAGGATGGATCCATGCTTTCATGGTGTTGACGCAAAATTCTGACCCTACAATCTGAATGTTGCAGCAGAAATCGACACTCAGCAGACCAGGCAATGCTTTTCCAATATTCTATTGTCCAATTTTGGTGAGCCAGTGCCAATTGTACCCTTAGTTTTCTGTTCTTAGCTGACAGGAGTGGCACCCGGTGTGGTCTTCTGCTGCTGTAGCCCATCCGCCTCAAGGTTCAACGCATTGTGCATACCTCGGTTGTAACGAGTGGTTGTTTAAGTTACTGTTCCCTATCTATCAGCTAGAACCAGTCTGGCCATTCTCCTCTGACATCAACTAGTCATTTGTGCCCACAGAGCTGCCGCTCACTGGATATTTTCTTTATTTTGGACCATTCTCTTTAAACCCTAGGCAAGATCCGCAGTTTTTGAAATATTCAGACCAGCACGTCTGGCACCAACAACCATGCTACATGCTGGTGCCAAAGTTACTTAAATTACCTTTCTTCCCCATTCTGATGCTCGGATTGAACTGCACTAGATTGTCTTAATCATGTCTACATGCCTAAATGCATTCAGTTGCTGCCATGTGATTGGAGAAATTTGTGTTAACAAGCAGTTGGACAGGTGTACCTAATAAAGTGGCCAGTGTATATCAGAATTAGGCAGTAAATCAGGTTTCCAAAAAATTACATGAAAACACTTTTGGCGGGGCCACACTTATAAAAAACTTTCAAAAACATTGGTTTAAAATGGCACTTCAAAATTGTTGCCATTTTTATTTATTTATTTGGAAAGCAGCAATTAAATTTCTTATCCTTGACATTTTTCAGAAACTTTGCTACATGACCTCAACCTAACATGGCATCCCAGTTCAAAACTTGGGAAACATACAGTTAGAAAAAGGTCTTATTACTCTAAAATATTAAAATATTAATCTGATTTAGTGGAATTTACTAACTGATACAGCGGATGTTAATCTCCATGTAAAAGCAGTATCAATACATCCCCTTAACTGGCAACAAAGACTGCAATCACAATGTTTGCCTTTGCTAACATGGATTGTGGGACCACTACAATAAGTGGGAGTGAAGCTGCTCTTTTTTCACTCCTCCCCTGACAGCAGACGCCTACTATCATCTACATTAAAAACATGGCATTTGGAATCTAAAAAGAGCCCAATGTTTTATTGTCTAAAAAGTGGCCAGTGTTTTATCGAGTCAAGACGCAACTCCTCCTTAGAATGGCACAACAGTTTATCAAGTCAACATGAAATGTAAATAAATCCCATTAAAACATTTTTATATTACTGTGAATGATGTATTAATGGGAGTCCCACAAAAAATGAGTAAAAATCAAGACCCATCAAACTTTTATGGTCGCCAAATGGATTGTGAACCATTCACAGTAGCCAGGTTAACATTGCTAACATGAAGTGACTCTTTTTAAAGTTTGCACAAAAGGACACAATCCCAAAAGGCAATTAGGTGAGTTTCCACCAAGCTGTTATATAATGGTTGACTTTAGTACTGGTAACCTAGTAACCAACAGTAAACAAGGCAAGCATAATAGAGACAGCTGATTAATAACATGGATGTGATGTTCGCTATGTCATACCAAAGACTATAGAATACCGAAGCCATGTCACAGTTTTAAATGGGAAAAAGTGTAACGGTCAATATGGCGAACAAAGCCCCGCCTACTAGTACAGGAGCCAATTATCAATCAATATAGAGTGACGTTAGAAGCTCGGACCAGACGTGTGCTTTTACGACAGTTTGGTGGTCAACAAACACACTGGAATCTCAGTGAATGCTTGCTTCACAGACATAAGAAATATATCCACAAAGCTTAAAATCTCTACCAACTATACCTGAAAACAAAAGTTTTTTGGATTTGTAATCTGTATGAAACAAACGCAAGGTACAGTCCATCCTGTCAAACATCACATGACAGCAACTAATCAAACACCCACAAACTTTTAAACAAAGAGTCGCTGTCATTTCTGGAGGAGATTCGCCATCAAGACCAAGTTGTGTATTACTTCAGAAGAGCAGTGTGATCAGACAACCATTATGCAGAGGATGATAGTGTAGAACAACCATAAATGAGGTTGGTGTCGTGATCTCGTTCCTTTCGAGTGCGCATGCCGATTTTTTAAATTCGAATTTAAAAACAAAACTTATGAGACAGTTGTTGTTTAATTTTGTTGGAGATTCCAAATATGTAATGTAGCTGTAAGCTTGACAAACAGTTTAAGAGAATTTGATGTTTCCCCATTCAGACAGAATGTCCAAGCATACTGACCAAAAGGCAAGAACTTAAAGGGACTCTGGGTCTCATTGTGTTCATATATTTTATGAACGATGTACTTATGCACAAACACAGTCAACAGCATAGAATATGAATATGAATTTAGCGTCTTGCCAAATGCGAACACTAACATTTTTACTAACCGGAATTTCAAACAGTTTCCCAGATGACTTTAGACGTTTGCTAAATTAGTGAAATAAATGACCAAACTCCTTGCCACGAGAATAACTGCATTCACCATCAGGAGGTGGCATAATCACTGACATGGGAAAATTTTGCATGCACAATCCAAATAGAGTGATAAATAAAGCAATCCAACGTCAGCGCCCGATAACCCCTCCCCTTCCGCTTTATGAGCAAAGCTGCCGCCGTTGAGTGCATAAAGTGTCCAACATTCCACACTTTTTGAATAACTGCACCATCCGGATATTTAAAGGGCACTTATTTATTTTTTGGATTAAAAATAATATTTCAGTGTGAGTGCACTACTTATAATATTTATACTACGAAATGGCATAGAATAGTGCATAAGTTTGCGATTTGGGATGCACCTTGCGAGTTTAATCAACAAATGCATTTCCATTTCATTATTTGGATTTGCTAAAGTCCAAAACCACCTCAAGTGAATGAAAAAAAACTTATTTAAATAAGGGATTATTAAAAATGTTTCAGTTTCCATCACTTGTTTCTCATGTGACACTTCAAAATGATGCACACAAGATCCGCCAGATGCTGTTGTCAGTGTTGCCAGATTGGGTGTTTTTGAATTTGATTGTGAGGGTAAAATATGGCTTAGGTGGGTTGACAAAATGTGGGCGGTTTTGAAACATAATTTTTATATCCAGTTTGTTTAACAAAACGTAACTGTGAGCTCTTACTCCATTAGTTAGTGGTGACCAATGTGTAGCGCAAACTGCGTTAGCCCACCCGCAAGCAGATAAAGGGAAGTTTTATCAAAATCTGACTGCTGGACAAATTGGACTCGCAATTGGCAAAGCGCCTGCAGTTACAGTCACAGATATTTATCATAAAACTATTATCGAACCTTTTTCCCATGATGAACAGCAAAAACAAACATAGAATTGTTAAAAAAACGTAAAACGCCAAATGGGACGAATTTATGCATTTACGCCATTATGCATCCACCTGAATATATACTAGGAATCCATGAAGCTACTGTGGAAGCTAAAACTCCTGTGTCCTGCTTCTGTTGTTTTAAACAAGTCACCCTTTCGCGAGTTGCCAAATGAATTCTTTTTAGGCTCACCAGATTTACTAGAGATGCATTGGAGCACAAAAGCTAATTAAAATAAAACTGACTTTAATTTCACAGGATATTTAATGCAACTATTTAAACATAATCTTTAACAAATCTACAATATATAGGCGAATACGCGGTGTAGTCTACAGAACAATAAGTGCAGTGTTGTGATGTGATCCAGTTATAGTTTTTCTATTGTAGCTTTGTGACTGCTGATGTGGGTTGCTGTATGGTTAAAAAGTCTGACAATTAAAGCAACTAGGCTAATTTTTTTTTAATAAATAAAAATTAAATAAAATATGAATAGAATTTTTTGGGTGTTTTTTTGTGAGTTTGGGTAGGTTTTGGACAGCTATTGAGCTGGATAACGTCAGTTATATCATACAACACTGGTTGTTGAGTACCTAATACTGCCAATGCAGGTAAATTTTACACATTTATTTTAATTATAAATGGCTACAAATTCGCTATTTTTCTGTATTACAGCACTGTGTTAACAAAGAAATGCCTGCTGTCATGAATCAATTATGTCTAGAAATCAACCGTGTCTTGTCCTGTTGTTTTAGTTTAAGGCTTTTTCAAGCTGGCTGCAATAAATCGCTTTCACAATGGCAGCAATAAGGTACAAGTCTGCACTTACAACGAAAATTAGAAGCAGCTAAATATATACTTGGGTGATTTAATATTATAATGCAATGTAGTTTATCCTATATTAAGTCATTTAAATGACTAAATGATCCTATAGACAATAATAAACAATAATTTACAACAATGCAATGACAAATTCAAGCAAACAATACACATAATTGATTATGAATTTGATTAGTCATATAATTTATAGTTTAAATAAGAGAAAAAACACAGGTAGAGTTTGAACATTTATGAGCAGGATTTCAGATGAGACGTCAGATACAGAAGCAACCCAGGAAGCATCACTTATTTTCCCATCATAAGATTCATCATCACTGATGGCATTGTGTGCTTCTAATACCACTCTGGCATCCTCAAATTGCCTTCATTTACATATTTTAACTTTATTAACTTGAATTTCCCACTAATAGTGACTTAAGAATAAAACAAGTGCATATATGCAGGAATTTCATAGCAGGTAAATCTGACCCGCACTGGTGGTTATAGGTATAATGCACCCTTTTGATCAAACATTTTTAACAACAAAGAATTGTAAATGGGTCAATTTCAGACTTGGAGGCCTTAATGTTTTATTGAAGGTCTGTTAAGTACATCTGAAAAGCAACAACGCATAAAATGTGCCCTGTGGCAGTTCTAGTGTTAATACAGGCTGATGGAAACCCAGCTAATGACTTTAACTGGCCGTTCTTACCGTTAGCCACTGGCCGACCTCCTCTTTCTCTTTTTGTGCAGGATCGACTTTCTGAGCAAGGCCGAGACCCTCTTTAGAGTACGCTTTCGTTTTGGTCTCCCGCTCCACTATCTTAAACCGTTCCATTTGCTGTGAAAAATCAAAACAAAACAAAAAAAACAAGTCATAAACCACAGTCAAAATGTAGGCATTTTGTTTCGGGGTTACCTTAAAAACTACTTAAGAATAGCATAGATTTTTTTGCCTCAGGATACAGAACTCCTTGGTAGAAGAGATAATGTATCTCAATGTGACATTCCTGGTTAGAGAATTAAATAAATAAATATGTACAATACTGTAAGATGTTTTATTCAAAAATATTTGAGCTGGTTTCTGTTTTTAGTTCTTTGATTTTTCATTTTATTTAAATTATATTTATATTACTTGTTTGTTAATTAAATCCCGTTTTGTTATTTAACCTATTATTTTTATGTAACAGTCAAGTTCAATGTTAATTTGCTTTGCGAAGAAGAAGTAATAATTATTTTTGGCATGCTGACTTATGTGAAATCGTGAATACAGGTCTATATAAAAACCTTGCAGTTTCAAAATGATTGTTTTTTTTTGCTTTGAGTAGACCGTCAAGTTCATAAGATAAGTTAAAACTAATATGAGGCTTTTAAAATAAAATCAGTTGTTTACTGTATAAAAATATAACATTGGGAAATATTAATAAGCTAACATTTCTGTTATCTGCCTTCAAATCTGAAGAGTTATCGGTTATCAATAATGGCCAAAAAATCAGTGCATCCCAATCCAAACACTTACCAAAAATAAACTTATTATATGTGCTCATTATATGTGTACTTCACCCAACAATGTTGTTAAAATCTGCTATTAATAATCAGGATCACACCTTGTTTTTTTGGTCAGGTTAAAACAGACATTTACTCACCGTCTCGATGAGTTTGCGGTTCTCCACAAGCTGTCTTTTGTCTTTGATCTCATTAGAGGCGACCCATGTCTTAATCTGGTCACGAAGGCGCTGCAGATTCAACGCAGACAGAAAGAGAAAGAGCATGTAAAAAGGAAAGAATGAAAGAAAATTGAGATGGACGCCAGAAAATCAAGCATGCCCGACTCGTTCGCTGCCGCCAAGCCCAACGGACACGTGCATACATGACCCTCGGCGTGGGTAGAGCTTGTCCTCGTGGTTAACAATAAAGCCAAGCACACCGTGAGCAACCAAACAAACCAATTAATTGAAAGTAAAAGTAGTTCACTCTCTCTCCAAGTCCAACTACTGTCCTATCGTGATCATAAAAACACATCTTATAATCAACTATGCATCAACAGATCATTCTCACCTGTAATTTTTTAATCTCTTTCTTGAGGTCAGACTCGTATTTTTCTTTTTGGTTGGCGTTGGCTGCATTGTGGAGCTGAAAACAAACAAATAAACAAGCTTATAGAAAACATTTGAGAAATTAAGGATGAAAACTAACAGGTGCCTTCTCTGCATTGTGTTTGGACAAGTTATAGATGACTCATGTGGGCAAAATAGTCAAAGAAAAGTCACATTAAACATTTATGATTTTTTTAATTATTTTTTTTTTATCACACTACAGTTCAAGATTTTGGGTCAGGGCTACTTTTTAATCAATACTTTCATACAGTAAGGATGCATTAAACTGAGCAATTAAAAGTGACACAAAAAACGATTTTATTTATTCCAGATAAATTTCTATTTCTATTTATCAAACATTCTTGAAAAAAGTGACAGTTTTCACAAATATATAACAAAATTTATACAGTGCTTCCCACACATAGACTTTACTTGGGCAGGCCGCCCAGGTATATTAACGGTATATTAAAGTGATATTTAATTTCTTCCTATCATCAACCTTTTACGGTTTTTATTTTAATCCGCCCAATAGACAAGCATCCATGATCGACTAACCAGTGGAAAATCTTCTCTCACCCTGCATGTTTTTTATTTCTCGTTGTGTGTGCGCGAAAACTGCCACCACTCCCACAGACAATCTCACATGATATAGAGAGGCCCACAGGACCCACAAAGACACGCCTTTTCCGGCTTAAAAATATGTCTGTCCGGGGTTTCTCCTAAAATGTCAGAGTTTAGGCTTTTGGTTTCGATTTCTAAAGTCGTTGTTAATTGTATGCGTTTTTGCATTACATTTTTATTTTAAGCCTGATTTACTTTCCCTTGGCTTCGCCGAGTAAAACGATAAATAATTCCTTCTTTGATCTAAATGATTTAGATCTCACATCTAAACTGCCTGCAAAATATTTGTATATAGTTAGAAACTGTTAATTAACTAATTTGCCTTATTTAATCTACACTTTTTATTCTAGTAAATATTATACTTTAAAGATTTTGGGCTCTACTTTAATTATCTACGTGCAAAGTCTAAAGTGCATGGTGCAAAAGGCGTGTCCAAATCAACTTTTGCTATTTTAAGGATGAAAAAATACGCCCTCCACCCTGGCGCATGGTCTAACAGGGGTGTGCTGATTCTCTTAATGAGTTTTGGTTATGTTTTGAGCATAACGTGCATTAAACCAATCAGAGTCTCATCTCCCATTCCCTTTAAGAGTTAGCTGCGTTTCGCCATGGCGTAATTTGTAAGTGAAAAAACAAAATGCTTCACTAGCAAGAAAACAGTTAAACAAAACATCTGCAGTGCGAGGATAAAGAACAAGCATCCTCCATTCGGCCTCTTTACTTTCTCTTTACCTTACTTTTACTCTTTACTCCTTTACTTTCACGGATAAGGAAACTGCTGTTAGCACTCCACCGAAGACATCCATTAGCCTACATATTTAATTTTGTTTGAGCGCAAAGATTTGTTTCAAAACTATTTCTAAATTCAGTTCTAATTTCCAGCAAACCGATTAATAAACAAGAATAATGAAATGTGCACAAAAAACGGAGTTATATCCAAATACACATCCTGTTTATATGCCCCATATGGTGATACAGACACCTCCAAAACCCGACAGGTGGACAAATCTACACTTGTTTTTATTAAAACAAATATAAGTATGCATATAATAAATAACACTCATAATAATAAAATTAACAACAACATTATAATAAAAATGCAAATTGCCATGAATAAACTGGAAAATGCTCCCCGAGATGAAGGCACGGAGATAGTGTTTTTTATATTTATGCAGAAAATAATAATTTTTAAAAACATTTTAATACTTTAATTTGTGTTCATATATAAAGATATTTGTGTTTTGCTGTAGATCCTGTGTGTATAAAGCAACGTGTATGCGTTTTGGACCTGTATAAGGCGCATAACACAATCTGCTCTGGACGTTAGACCAGCTTTAAGTTGGTCAGTGGCGCAGTCTATTTCAGTTCCTCAAAATAGTATTGTGCCAACAATACGCCCTAACACGCCTCCTTTTTAAACCAGAACACCCATGAGTCAACAAAGTGGCACAAATGGATTTACTATTCAAACAACGCAATGCAAAATGTGAAAATAAGGTTGTGCTGATCTGAAAATAGCAACAAATCTTGCCAAAAATGTCTTACACCTTATTGCGATCGGTGTATGAAAGGGCCCATTGTCTGTTTTTATTCCTTTGTCATTTATTTCTCATTTGTTTTATATTTTTTTATTTGATGATGTTGATATATTACATATTTTATACATATCTAACATGTTTTGGTAATTCTGTACAAAATGTCAGCAGCAGATTTGACCTGTCAGTGGGTGCACATGGGGTCTTTTTTTAAACTTAAAAAAAAAAGTGTATAACAGTGTCATAATACATAAATTATTGTTAAAAATCCTTTTTTTTTTTGTAGGAAACATGTGCTGTGGGTTTCAATCCTGCTACCACCGCACGTATATGTCAAACCTGTGGGAAGCACTGATTATAAACGGAGTTAATTCCAACATTCAAACAACATTTCAATAAAATTCCCACAATTATTTACAATGTTCTTCTTAAAACTGTGCAAATGAAATTTAATGAGTTGTTGTGGTTGTTTCCTACCTTTTTCCAAATGTCCTCAAACTGCTCTACCCCTTCTGTGACTTTTTTCAAACATCTGTCTATTTCACCTGAGGAGAAAGAAGCAACCCTTCAGTACATGATGGGATGGGGTGAGTCCAGGCCATTTTCTCTGACAGACACGCAAACAGCAGATCATCTTAAATAATGTAAGCTACTCGTGTAATATTCTCCACAAACTAAACTGCATTAAGAGATCTTCCAAGAAGACCATTAAACATATATAAGACAGTTTTTTCTCCTGTTACCATACCTTGAAGTTTTCTTTTATCAGCCATGACTTCTTGACTATGATGTTTTCTTCATGCCTTCTTCTGCTAGAAATATAAAGGTGAAAATCAGCATTGTTCAAATCAGCAATCAGATTCCCTTATTCATAGTGTTGAAATCATTGCAAGTCAATATCATGATGATGCAGTACAAGTTGGTAAAAAAAATTATCTTATACTGTCATACGTCTACAACACTGTCATTATAATGTGATTCAATGCCATATGTCCTCAAAAAAAGCCTTTCAAACTGATGGTCTATTTTATAACAACACATTTATTCCTGAACTACTAATGTAAATACTGTAATGGCACAGTGACGCCATTGCAAACACACAGAATGACTCTTGTGATCGCTGTAGGGAAGATTGCACAGCTTTATGTTGAACACAAAAATGCAAATACTCATATTCGCCCTTGGTAATTCTGGAAGCAGCTGAACCCAAAGGCATATCAAACCACAACAAACTAACCAAAGCTTGTTTTTGCTTTTATATATAGCAGCACAGCTTTCTAAAATAGATAATTTCATGTTAATACCAAAAATATTGCAGTTACTATTGCGGATGGAAATAACAATTAAGTGTTCACATGCCACTCTCTTTGGTAGTCAACCTACAAATAGTGATAGATTGTCTCCACATATTAAAGTAGAATAAATGTGGTACTTTAACGCTGAATAAATTACACACTACACCTCCACAAAATGTACAGTGTAAATATGCAACACTGCCAATTTTCATACAAAAATAAATAAATATTATTTGCCAGTTCTGGTTGCCTATATAAGACAAATGAAACCTTATTATATAGGAGAGCGGGGAATAATTTTATTGATAAGTCTTGATATTAAAACAAATGTCTGAATTGTGTATTTTAGAAATGAAAAGGGTTTTTTCAAGCATCAAAACAAGCAGCTTTACATTTGTGTACATACGATCGTGACATTAGAATGTTTTTATATATTTTAATAGGACAGAATAAGCACGTTGTTCATTTTACATAAATATATGTGTGTTTTGCTGAATGTTGATGTGTTGTTTCATCCATATTTTTACATTTTATTTTCCCAAAGGTTAATTTAAACATTTATGTAGTCCCTTACAGGGTTACATTGCATTACATATCTGTGTGAATGTTTTTATTTCGCTGTTTTGATTTCATTGTATTAGATTTATGTGTGTTGGTATTTTCAAATTAGTAAAAAAAAAAGAAAACAAATGTGAATGGAAGAGAAGTAGAAAGGAAAATGAGAAATAGACATGTAAAAGACAAATAGACATGGAAAAGACATGTCTTTAAATGAAATATTATTAGGATGATTGTATTAAATGCGTTTTGCAATTAAAGGTAGGCCTGTCAAGAATTTTTATTGAACGATATATTTACACAGATATTGTTGGGATAAGCGATATTACTGTTATTGAGCAAATTTTTATTGAGCGATATATTTACACATATTTGTGGGATAAGCAATTTTACCGTTATTGAGCGAATTTTTATTGAGTGATATATTTACACAGATATTGTTGGGATAAGCGATATTACTGTTATTTTAAGATCATTTTATGCCAATGATTATCGAATCACAACAGCATAATAATGTAAATAGTAGAGATGCTCCGATCAATAGGCAGAAGATCGGTATCGGCCGATAATCACATTTCATGACTCACGCTGCTTCTGGCCATGACATGTTTACTCCTATATGCTTATAAGAGACGTGTTTAAGATATTATCTTTTACAGCGTCCTTAATTTATTCCCTTAAGTTAGGGGAGATCTTTCCTTAAGTAGCATACTTGGAAAGAAAATGTGCTTAATGCATTATAAAGCTTAAAGCATCGAAAACGACACTCTGTATCGGCCGATCACCCTGACAAGGAATTGGTACTCGGTATCGGCTGCAAAAATCCTAATCGGAGCATGTCTAGTAAATAGCCATGCAATTCATTCAATGCTGTTCATTCTTAATGTTATTTAGTTTCTGCAATGTAATGTCAAAAATGATGCAAATGTCTTATTATATGTCATATTAAATGTCCTATTAATTAACTTTGATATCGGCAAGGTAAAATGTAAATGTCCTTGTTAAATGGCTTTTACGTTATTTTTGAATTTGTAAATATATATTGCAACACCAAAAATTAGTATGGTCATGTATAAATATTAAAATACATTTATGAAAAATATATAGTTGTCTCTTTAATTGCACCGTATATGCTTTTATCATGAATATAAAATCCTTCAAGCTATAAAGGAATAGAATTGAGCTATTTTCAAAATGCATCTCTATTCTAACTGCAATACTGAGCTTAGTTTTTTTATCATCATGTGTGTGCAATTTAAAATGTGTATTTTTAAATATTGACAGCTGTATGCATAGCTTCTCTGTGAAGTATGGCCCAATGTTGCTAATGCTAAACCAAGAACACTTGCAAATACCAAATATAATGACATTTTGACTCAACACTTTGGCCCAATCCAAATTCTACCCTTAGCCCTTCCCCTTACCCCTCATTTTGTGCGTTCACGAAAAGGGGTAGGGGTGTCCCAATTCTCTTTAGCTTGAAGACATAGGGCTAAGGGGAAGGGGTGAATAGCCTTTTGAATGAAGATTTTTTTTAGGATCACACTCGAAACCAGGAGGTAACAAAATTTTCCAGAATACAAGGCTCAGCTGCAGTAAGGAGATCCACAAAGTATTATTTTTTGTTATTATTAGGAATTTTTACAAGAAACAAACACATGTTTTAATATATTCATAACCGCATTTGGGGTTTAAGCATCATGCTTTAAAAAAAAACAAACAAAAAAAAAAACGCTAAAATAAAAAACGCTAAATTTCACAATCTATAATCCATAATCATAACTCCTGTATAGCAGTCCAACAATATTCTGACACTTGATGACACTGGAATAGCCTGTCAGAAAAGTCTAGTGGCTGGGAATGAGAATTTTTACAGTGTCTGCTATAATGTTAATGTTGTTTTTGTGTGTTTACATAGATGAATATGGCCACAGTACAGTTACGATCTTATTGCCACATTAAATCGTTATGATGACATAATATATGTCTTCAGTGAGTTGCTGAAGATAAATACCAAAAAATAACACAACTGGAAAAACTACAGCAGTCGCCATCGTCTGATCTCATATGAAGCATGTGATCGCAATGACATATGATGACATGTGCAGGTGCTGTAGTGCTGTCCCAATTCTTAGTGGTACATTTTGAAGCCCTTCCCCTTAATCCTCCGTTGTAAAGGCTAAGGGGAAGGGTGAGGGGTACAAAAATAGAAATGGGATTGGGATAGTCTGTGCCAATAGCCTAGTGATTAAGTGAGCTGACATATAGCACCATCGTGCTCACAGCATCCCTAGTTCGATTCCCGGCTCGAGGTCCTATGCCGATCCCTCCACTCTCTCTGCTCCCTATTCTTTCCCGTCTGTACTACACTATCCTATCCCAATAAAAAGTGGGAAAAAAACCCAAAAAATAATAAAAATAAAAGCTCACTTCATAGCTGCATCCGAGTGTATGAAGTCTTTTTTTTTGTGAAATGTGTCTTCATACACAGAACAAAGCATGCAACATATTTCATAATAGCATTTTAATAAGAAGTGAAAAAGCCGTTGCATCATCACATACTCTTTTATTAGGAAATGTGAAACATGAATGTGAAAACTGTGTAACATTTTACATAAGATCATTCAAATAAGCAGTGACAAGGCACATACTTTTTCTATCAGGTAAATGATATGAAGGGCGGCATGGTGGCACTTCATTCATTTTAATGCTAGAAAGAATGCTTTATGCAGGAATGTAACTTATATGACATGCTGCAACGGCCCCTTTAAATACGAGATCAATGTAGAAAATTTGACGGTCTCATCGCCTTCAGTGTGAAGGCACAGTAAAGCTGATTTATACTTCTGCCTCGAGCAATTATCATGACGCCTGCCTTGTGCATTGCTGTGCATTTATACTTCTGCGTGCTGTTTGTGTTGCTCTGCAATAACACTTCCGAAACGCTAGCTGGCAGTGAGGTTTTTGTTCTTCTGTTTCTGTATTTTGTTTTTTTGTCTGAACGCTACCTTAATGTACAAGTGGCTCAAACGCACTCATTCAGAGGCAGGAACTGGCGAATGTGCAACTTCTTTATTCATAAGGTAAACAGAAAACAAAAGTTTCCATCTGGAGCTCCTTCATGGGACTCAACACTTCTAAACACTCAATGGGTTCACGTGGCTCTCACCCCTGCCCACAGTCGTCAGCGCTACCAAGCGGATCAATCACAGAAATTGAGCTACACATGTAGTTGACATGTAGTTACATTTTTTTGAATGGTGCACTTCAGCATCGGTGTCCGCCATGGCGAGGGCTATGTGACCGTGTGAAGACTCCGCCGGAGCATATGCATGCGCTTAAGTATAAATCAGCCTTCAGTTTGCTATGAGGAAATAACACACAAAATAAATCCCTGCCCCTACTTAACATTTAGTTTCAGTAGGAAGTACATCAACATACTGAAATAAAAGTCTCAGCATCTTCCAGTTCACGCAGACTTTAAAGCCCATGTTGGGATGCAAACAAGCATGCCGGTGTGAAACATAAGGAAGTGCGATCTCAGTCTAAACATAGAAAATGCGTTATTCTACACTTCGCACATCCCACATACTCAAGAATTGCAATAATGCGGGCAAGATTATCACAGATTCAGAAATCTCAACAGTTTTACTCGACAAGCAGCAAGTATAAAAATCTTGTGTGTTAAACGGAGGTTCCATCAAAATGCCAGAGAATGCACACCTTTGTTTTGTTCTGTAAATACAAAAGCTCTTGATGGTAAAGGTACATGACAGCAAGAAGCTACTTTGAAGCCTACACGCATTAATGATTAAATAGCCCCTTCTGAAGGACTTTCACACATAAATCCCTCTTGTACTGCATTGTCAAAGTGAAAACTGGTTGCACTGCATACAGAAGAGACTGATTTGATTTTTGACAGAATATCATTATAGTTGTCTTTTTACTTAACCCACTCCATGCCAGTTAAAGGCAATTTAAAAAACAATATTGCTGTTAACTTCAGGTAATTTTATATAAGGCTGGGCGATGATATTGGTATCAATATTTATTGACCGAACACCATTGTCAATATCGATAAAAAAAGTTTCGGTATGAAGTTTAGGTGTGAAGCACTTCAGTTTTATGTAAATGTGGCTGCTGAATGTGCACCTTGAAAGCAGTGCCAATAAGCTTAGGGTGTAAGTTGTCAATTCCAAAGAAGGCGCGTGACTTGCATGACGCATGTATAGGAGTGACGCACAAATGTTGTGCAAGTGGCGCGCGCACATTTTAAGCCGCAACTTGTTGAAAACATCTCAAATTATCCAGATGCCGTGAGCACACTGCGATTCATGCAAGTAGGACTAACATATCTACTTCACGCTTTGCATGGAATTTACACATTTCAGTAATAACGGCAGACAAATTACATCAGAATAACCAAGCGCAGCCAAACACTGCAGTGCTTTTTACTTTTCTCAATAAACTTGCATCAGAGCTACAGCAATGATTTGTCTATTTGTCATCCTCTGAAAAAACGATTGATGGTAACCTAGTTATGAGCGACGCCAGGGCAGCGCGAAAGCAAAGAACATGGTAAATGGTCAAGGGAATCATGTGCGCGCACTTGTCACTTCAGGTCAGAATAACAACACATGCGAAAATGAGTGCTTTGACTAGCAGCAGTGAGGAGTTTGTAAATAAAAAAGGATGCAAGGATGTCGCCAGAGTGGCTTTTTGGTTTCTTTTCTTGTGCATCCCAGCCACTAGCTCCCCATCTGAAAGACGTTTTAGCATAGTGGTAATATAATCATTCAACTTCACAACTTGTAATGTTGCAATATGTTTTTGAACAATGATGTTTAGTTCTTTTGCTTGAAAGCTTAAATTTGACTATCATAATTTGTTTTGTTTACAAAGTTTAAGGTTTTCTGTATCAATATTATTCATCAACCTTACAGATGTTGATCAACTTTAAAGTTTGTTTTGATTGTTCAACATTTGCTCTTTACCATTGCACACACTCTGTTACATTTTATTTATCAAGTTTAAGAGTCTGTTTAACACTTATGTTCGTTTTATAATAAAGAGATGAGATATTTAGTTTAAATATTTTTGCTTTTGACTATTAAAACTATTTATCTTAGTGATGTTGGCAAATTAAAATAAAGTGGTTAAATAAATAAAAAATCCTAAATGTTAGAAGTATGAACCTAAACTAGTCTCATGGTTCGGTTACGATTATCATGCCATCGATTCGATTCTATGCACTGATATCACAGTGCATTGACGATGCTTTCCATACACAGTTTTATATCTTCTTCACAGCACAGCAATTCTTGTATTAAAATGTATAAAAATATTTATATATTATTTGTAATACAATTTTGTCCTTTAATACAAACAGTCAGGTATATAAACTGCACCTTTAAAAACTCAAGTACATGCACAGAACAACATGAGCATTTATAGCAAACAAACAAATATAAATCTCCCGCTCGCTTTCTGAGCCTTGTCTGGCGAGTTCTTTCTAAAGCCTGGTTGATACTTCCGCAGAGTGATGGCCGTGACCCACGGCCCATGCCTTGCTGTGCATTTATACTTCTGCGTGCTGTTTGTGTTCCTCTGCAATAACACTTCTGAAACGCTAGCGGGCAGTGAGGTGTTTAAGTTCCTCTGTGTGGAGTTTTTTCGCTGGTGTTTTGTTTTTTTCTGAACGCTTCCTTAATATATAAGCAGCTACAACTCACTAATTTTAAAATAGAACTGGCAGACGTGCAACAACTTTAACCATAAAGTAAACACAAAATAAAACTTTTCAACTGGAGCTCCTTCACAGGACTCGACACTTGTAAACACTCGCTCCAACGGAGTGGCTCTCAGTCCCGCCTACACTCATCAGCACTACCAAGCCAACCAATCACAGAGATTGCGCTATGCATCGTTGCTATGTGCAAATTTTTTGAAAGGTGCGCGTCAGAGAAAACTCACTCTGCACACAAGCTTGTGTCTGTATCCAGAAGTATCGCTCTAACAGCCGAGGAGAGGAAAAGTCACACCAGCAGGTCAAATGGGCCACAGTGACACAGAGAGAAATGGAGTTTACTTTCATTTTCTCAATCGCAGTGAAACAGGGGCTTCTGCTGTGACAGTGAAAGACTGACCAGCAAAGTGAATTTTTTTAACAACATTTTTAATATAATTTTAAAATTGTTTTTAGCATAAGAAAATAGAAAATAACATAAACAGAACCAAAAAAAGAGACAGAAAAAAAAAAAGCCCAAAGGCCGTTTCAAAATACACAAATAGTCGGACACAACATAATACAGTATCATTCAGAAAGCATAAGAGAAATAAATAGAATTAAATATAAAAATAATAATTTACAGAGAAATGTGTAGGCTCCACAACTCGACTTATGCCAAACCAATCCCACCTATAAAGATTTACAAGTCAGCATTACTGATATAAAACATAATTGGATGCCAGATTTTTAAAAAATGTGTTTAGTTTGTCTGCCATCACATATCGCATTTCTTCCATGGGCAACACATAACTTAGGCTCCTAATTCAGGTTTCAAAGACAGGCGCGTAATCTGACTTCCAATTTTTTAAAATTATTTTCTTTGCTAATATCATACACAAAGAAGTGGCCTGTGATATACATTTATCTCCTATTTCTGAGGTGTCTCCAAAAATGCCCAATTTTGGCTCTGGTGACAGATCAATAATGTACATTTCAGATATAAAATTAAAAATGCTCTGCCAAAATGAACAAATTTTATGGCATGACCGGAATTAGTGAGTCAGTGTACCTTCAGGGTTTTTACATTTGTTACATAATAAGGAAATATTTGGGAAAATCTTATTTTATATTATTGGAAAATCTACAGCATTTAAGAAAAAACTTAAAGGCTCTTCACCTTAAAATTGTTTTAAACAATTTTGCTAAAAAGTCAAAATCGTGAAATTAGTATCATATCGAATCGCGAGTCAGGTGAATCGTTACATCCCTAAACTCTGTATATATTTAATGCCTAAACACATCATTTCGATTTTGACTTGTTTGATTATTTAAATAAACCAATGCAGACAAATATGTCAAATTAAATCATGAAACAGCGAATGAGGAATCGAGATTTACTAGTGTTTTATCAAAACACAGCAGAGAGAGAGGCACAAGCTTGTGTGAGGAAAGACAGTATTTCATGCATCCAAGCACTGCAGTTAGTACTGAATCAGAAACCAGTGTATGTGAAATGTGCTATTAAATCATCAGCAGTGCTGATCCCGACATAAAGAAACAATCAGCATGACAGCTGCACGTCAATCAAAATTTCCCGACACGGGCGCGCGCATCTATTGAGTTCTTGCAACAATATAACAAATGCAAAACACATCAGCTTGCAGATCCTCCGTCTGATCTCTTAACAGTTTAAAGTAAACCCCTAGTCTAGATAATAACAGCTCGTTTGTGATTTTGAAATATTGCTAATGTTTCCTCAATGTGAAAGCACAATCTCTCAGTGTGTTTGCATGCATGTGGTTTCATTATGTTCTCCCATCCAACTTAACTCGCATGTGCAGTACTTTTTACGCATGTCGAGACACTTGTGTGATGATATTGCCACTTTGGATGAGTTAAAACGCTCTGTTCCAGCATGCGGCTCGTGAGCCTGTAGACCTGCTCGAGCTTTTTTTTTTTGGGCTGGAATACAATTTGGAAAGGAAAAGAAAAAAGCAGCACGTAATTGAAGTGACGCTCACACGTCGTGAGGAGGTTGTACCTGATTTTCCTGAGTTTCACCTTGCCTCTTAATATCCCCTTCAGCTTCGCCACGATTCCTCCAACTTTTCACGGTATATTTTTTATTATTTCCTATTATTTCTATTCGTCAAACAATCACTTCTCGCATCAAAGATGGCCGCCAGGAACACCTCCTCCGCTGGTGCGCTGGAGGCGTTTAGACCCGCCTACTCGAAACGCTCTCGCCTCTCGTTGGATACGACGAGGTGTCGATCATCCAGCGGTAGTTGACAGCTTCCGCGCACAGAGAGTGATGGTTGGTGTGTACGGCGGGGTTAAAGGTGCACCGGGATGTCTTAAAATTGTCCAACTACGGTATGACCTATTTTTGTTGTTGTTGTAAAATTCACTATGTAATATAAGCAAACATTTAATTGAGGACATATGTTTTTTTTTACTTGCAGTTTGGTCAGAAGCAGACTGGGTGAGAATAAAGAAGGTTTGACTTTCACATTACAAGATTTACTTTGTGGAATTACTAAAGATTTTGCACGATTTGATAAATAATATCATTGTGTTAAACAATTTTTTTCTTCTCATAAATGTACCTATATTACAGAACGCCTCCACTGTTTATTTCTTTTTTAAAGAACTAAAAAGCTTTTTTTGGTTGCCCTTGCTAAAATCAAAACTAAAAATAGCTTAATTATTTTATTTTTCTTTACCTACTCCCTTTATTTATAACAGAGGAATGAACCGCCAACTTATCCAGCATATTTTTTACACAGTGGATGCTCTTCTGGCTGGGCTAGTTGGCATTTCTGTGTGGAGTTTGCATGTTCTCGAGTGGGGTGCTTCCGGGTGCTCCGGTTTTCCCCCACATGCGGTACAGGTGAATTGGGTTGGCTAAATTGTCCATAATGAATGAGTGTGTATGGTTGTTTCCCAGAGATGGGATGTGGCGGGAAGGGCATCCGCTGCGTAAAAAACGTGCCGAATAAGTTGGCGGTTCATTCCGCTGTGGCGACCCCGGATTAATGAAGGGACTAAGCCGAAAAGAAAATGAATGAAGGAATTCACCTGTACCGCATGTCTTTGGACTGTGGGGGAAATCGGAGTGCCCTGAGGAAACCCACTCGAACGCGGCGAGAACATGCAAACTCCGCACAGAAATGCCAACTGACCCAGCCGAGGCTCGAACCAGAGACTTTCTTGCTGTGAGGCGAGAGAGATACCCACTGCGCCACCACGTCACCTTAAAGTGTAAACGACTGAATATAAAAACTGAAATAAAAATAAAGCATATAAAACAAACAAATATGAAGTGTTTATTTGGCAAAGTAAGTGAAATAAAATTAAAGTACCAAAAGCAACCTGTCATTTTCATATCAACCTATTTTTGGCTGGAGAGAAAACATTCATTCATTTTTCTTCAGCTTTATGCATCAGAGGTCGCCACAGTGGAATGAACTGCCAACTATTCCAGCATATGTTTTACACAGCGGATGCCCTTCCAGCTGCAACCCAGTACTGGAAAACATCCAGACACACACTATGGCCAATTTAGTTTATTCACTTCACCTATAGCGCATGCCTGGACTGTGAGGGGAAACCGGAGCACCCAGAGGAAACACACATGAACACAGGGAGAACATGCTACTCCACACAGAAATGCCAACTGGCCCAGCTGGGACTCAAACCAGAGGTCTTCTTGCTGTGAGGTGACAGTTCTAACCACTGAGCCACTGTTTAAATGTCATTTTGTTGAATTTAGGTTTTGTATTTTCCAATTAAATAAGATAAAACCTATATGTGCAAAATTCTAGTGTCCTGTGAAAGCGGTTTTTGTTTATTCATGGTGTTCTAGTACTGGTCATATTTTGTAGCTTACCCAGCTTACTTTGGGGTAAGAATAAGATTTAGGAGCATGAAAGCTCATGAGAGTGGAAATACCAAAAATAATTCATAAACAGCAGTTTGAGACCAGATGAAATGGGGGAAAATAGGACAAGAGGAATGAGTTGGCAATTAAAGTTAAACAAAATCTGAAATAAAAATAAAGCTATAGATACTCACTCACCAGCCACTTTATTAGGTACTGTTCATCTGCTTGTTAATGCAATTTTCTAACCAGCCAATCACATGGCAGCAAGTCGAGGCATTTAGGCATGTAGACAGGGTCAAGACTCAAACTAAACATCAGAATGGGGAAGAAAGCTGATTTAAGTGACTTTGAACGTGACATGGATGGTTGTTGGTGCCAGATTCTGCATATTTCAGAAACTGCTGCCCTACTGAGATTTTCACGCACAACCATCTCTAGGGTTTAAAGAAGGGGTGTCCAAACTCAGTCCTGGAGGGCCGGTGTCCTGCATAGATTAGCTCCAACTTCCTTCAACACACCTGCCTGGAACTTTCTAGTATACCTAGAAAGAACTTGATTAGCTGGTTCAGGTGTGTTTAATTAGTATAGGAATTAAAATATGCAGGACACCAGACCTCTAGGACTGAGTTTGGACACCCCTGGTTTAAAGTGAAAGGTCCAAAAAAGTGAAAATATCCAGTGAGCGGCAGTACTGTGGGCGCAAATGTCTTGTTGATGCCAGAGGTCAGAGGAGAATGGCCAGACTGGCTCCAGCTGATAGAGGCAACCGCACTCAAATAACCACTCGTTACAACCGAGGTATGCAGAAGAGCATCTCTGAATGCACAACATGTTAAACCTTGAGGCGGATGGGCTACAGCAGCAGAAGACCACACCGGGTGCTACTTCTGTCAGATAAGAACAGGAAACTGAGGCTACAGTTCACACAGGCTCACCAAAATTGGACAATAGAAGATTGGAAAAACGTTGCCTGGTCTGATGAGTCTCAATTTCTGCTGTGACATTCAGATGGTAGGGTCAGAATTTGTCATCAACAACATGAAAGCATGGATCCATCCTGCCTTGTATCAATGGTTCAGGCTGGTGGTGGTTGTGCAATGGTGTGGGGGATATTATCTTTGCACACTTTGGGCTCATTAGTACTGAGCATCGTGCCAATGTCACAGTTCATGTATGGCTACCCAATCTGACCAAAACCCATTCAATCAACAATAAATCTCAAAACTTTACATTTAAAAATGTAATTTTTAACTCATTTTCCTTACAATAACATTTGTTTAAAAGTGCTCCATGTTTTTTACTGCTGAGGACACCAACATGGACAGATTGTTGTGCGTAGATTGTTTATTAGTTTTTAAACCTTTTAAAACAGTTCGTTTTTTAAAGTCTGTTGAAAAAAAAAAGTGTATGGATACAAGTAGAGTTTGCTTGTCTTTACGCAATATTTACAATATTTTGCTAAGACATATCTAAAATATAATTTTTTTTAATTACTTTTGTATTATTAAGTGTATAAAAATGCTTTAATAGGGCAAATAAAAATGAAAATCTTTTCCATCTGGGTCATTTGAAAAATCACTAAGCATTTAGCACTTTGAGTCTAAAATTTGATTCATTATGGTCTTCAAGTGTTAAATTTAACTTGCAGAAACCTTGTTCTATAGTACTTTCCCCTTATATTTCATTACAAATGTTTTAACTCAGGACAGGATGGAGAGTAATTGACCATTTCCATGTAGCACTGATGAAAAACGCAGCATCTTTCAAACCAGTTAAGTGGTTTTAGTGAGGCCAGCAGTGGGCACTCAACCTGCGGTCTGTGTAAATCCTCCTAATGCCCCAGTATAGTGAAGAGGATGCTATGCTGTCAGTGAGCGCTGTTACCCATCATAGCCTCCCAATCCTCCCCACCCACTGAATTGGCTTTATTACTGTCCAGTCCAGGAACAGCTGGTGTGTGGTGAGCGCACTGGCGCCGTTGTCCTGTAGCTGCCGTTGCATCATCCAAGTGGATGCTGCACACTGGTGGTGTGGAGATTGATTGTGAAGCACTTTAGGTGTATGGCCATACACAATAAATGCACATTACATTACAATAATGACCAAACTGACAACGGATCAAACTTCCAAGAGTTTTATTATCAAAAGTGGCCTATTATACTGAGAAAACAAAAACATCACGCATACAGAAACTGAAAAACAGGTGCCACACTGGACAAATGTCATCACCTTCTAATGAGCTGGTGATATGCATGGAAGAGACCAAGTATGTATAAGAACAAAACCAGACAAAAAAAAAAGAAGAAGATCTGAGACTATCTAATACCTTGAGATATGAACTGCAAAAAGCTACAAAATGGGAGGGAGATTTGACCAACAGAGAAGAGCGAGGACTTTTGAGAAGGATCAGTCAGTGGGATCGATTCAAAAGAGGAATAAAAAGAGATAAAAACCAAGTAAGGGACATCTTCATTTGAATGATTAGCAATAAACCTCCAGGATTGGTTGGGGCGTCGATAGTTGGTCTTCTCTGATGGTCAACGATCACTATTTTACATTTGTTTCAGTATACAATTAAAAAATAGTAATAATTTTATTAACAGATTAGGTATCATCAGTATAGCAGAATAGCTCTCGCTAATGTTCTTAAAATACAAACGAAAAGCAAAAAACCCTCCCACAATTGCTCACGAATCATCTTTTAATTTAAGCCTCAAAACAAAAAAAACACAACATTCACCTTTTGGCTTCTTTTTTTTTTTTTTTTTTTTAAGAGTACAAAAAAAAATGTTCCCCCCTCTTCATCATCACTGCCTCCAATTCGATTTCTTTTTACGAAATGAGCTCAGCACTCTACCAGAAGTCTCGGCGATGATAAGCGTCTGGATCGCAGTACTTGGTCACCACCACCCTGTTGGCGAACTTTCTCCCCGTTAAGCCCTGCATGGCCTTCTGGGAGTCGTAAACAGAGGTGAACTCCACAAAGATCTGGAAAAATAAAACACAGATCATGAAATGGTTCATGTATGTTTGCATAGCACTGCCAGATGTTGATGTCTGCAGGGTTCAAAGTAAAAAAAACTAAACATGAAGGTTATTAAATGGTAACAGAATTTACATTTTGAGCTGAAAAGGAGGACAAAGTTTGACCTCAAGTTTGCAGCCCCTCAGTCCCTTTTTTTTTTTAAAGTATCTTCAGATCCGTAATTTTATATGATCTAAAAATCATTCATATCAGTGACCGACCGTAAGTAGTTTAGAAGAAATTGCAGTTAAAGATCCCAGTGCCAAATACAAAATTTCTA